CTGAGCCCTCCTCGAAGACAGCCAGAGGCTCTCCTGCTGCGCCGGGCCCTGGGGTCCCCAGACTGGAGGACCAGTGTTGTGGTGCAGATACACAGCTGCCGGTGGAGACCTGAGGCCCAGGCTGTCTCCAGGAGAGGATGTGGGACCTAATTTGTCAATGTTCCCTGCTCCAGCCACACCCTGGAGTGGTCTGAGTCACACAGCTCTCTGGCTGAGGTGTGTATGTGAAAGAAGCCCAGGTCTCTACTCTTGTCCTTCCCCAGGTGTCCTGCTCTGCTCTTTGGGGGGCGAGGGTGACCTCTGTGTTTTATTCTGGCCGGCAAAGTGCAGGTCCAGACCTGGCTTCAAGGATGAAAAGAGCTGGTAAGAGCTGGGAGACGCCAGGGTGACTGTGGGGCTGGAGCCTGTGAAGAAGCCACCTCTGGCTGCCCCTGCAGAGAACTAGGGAGTGGGGGTGCTCTGTTCCGTCTCTCACCTGCCCACATTACGCCAGCTGTTGAAAGCTGAGAAGTCCTGTGGATTCTTAAAGAGAGCGACTAAAAAGGGAGTCATCCATTCAGCAAACGTTTATTGAGCACCTACTGTGTGTCTGGCACTGGTCTAAAAACCTGGAAAAGGAGGGGTTGGGGCAGACTGGATCCATCCCAGCTGAAGCTTTCTCTTCCAGAAACAAGGATAGGGGTCCTCCTCCCTGAGGGGTGGAAGGCCCAATTATAGAAAGTGGAAGCCTCTAGAAGTGAGAGGCTGGATGAGGCCTCGAAGGCTCCCTGGGGGCAAGATGGACCTCAAGATTCAAGCCCCTAAGGGCTGAGCTGCTGCAGGAGGCTGGCCCCACATCACCTCCGTTTTAGCACGGATATGCAGGACTTCTTGAGGGGCCCGATCTGCAGATGGGCATCCACACTCTCCAGGAAGAAGGCAGGCTTGAGCCTGTGAGCGAAGAGCCCTGCAAAGTGGCTGTCCAGGCGGCTCTGGAAGGGGTCGGCAGGAGAGGCCAGAACACCACTCCGGCGTGGCCGGGAGGCCTTCAACCTCCTCAGAAGGCTCATCTTGCCATCGCGTACGGCATAGAAAGTCAAGGCCCGGTCGGCGTACTCCAGGCAGATTCCGACCGTGGGTGAGAAGGGCTGGGGGAGAGCCGCCTCCAGCCCGTGGAACCAGACAGAGAAGTTGCGTCCATTCCACTGCAGGCAGCAGGAGTATGCGTTGCGGCCCAGCCGGCCCCGGTCATAGGGCTCTTGTGTGGAGAAGCCTTCGGCCATGACCCCCACGCTAACCCAGCCCTCAATGATCTCTACCTCCCAGTAGTAGGTGCCACGGTCCAGGGCGCCTTCCCCCAGCACCTGTTCGCAGTGGGTGAAGCGGGTGGGCGACTCAGGGTAATTGATGGGACACAGCACTCTCTTGACACCTTTGGTTCCAAATAGTTGCAGGAACTTATCTGCCGTGTCGCTATCCAAGTCCACGATGTAGGCGACTGAACGCACAGATGGAAGAGAGATGCAGGGCTCAGGGCCAGACTCAGATAAGATGGTCCCCCCACAGGTGCCCACCCCCCTTAAACACAGCCTCACCCCTCTATTGCAACCAGCATAACTCAACACCAAGCTGACTTCATTCACCCCAGGAACTATGGAGGGGAGTCCAACCTCCTGGTGTCAGGACCATGCTGGGGCCTGTTTATGAGACCCCCATGGGAACAGGAAGGCAGTGTCTACTTACACTTGAGGAAATAGTCCCTGGGAATGTCACTCTCCAGGTGGTTCGTGCTATCAGGGTCCTGGGACTCGCTGTCAGCTGCAGAAGAAGAGACAGTGGCAAGCATATCCCCCAGACTCCAAAGGCTAGGCCGAGCACAGTGCCCATCCCAGGACCTGTGACTGCAACTCCCTCTGCCTGCCTTCCTCTCAAAGCCACCTGGGGACAGATATACATCCACACATGCCACCTGGTGGGCTCGTACAGGTCTGTGCCTGAATTGTACTCCACTTGCTCCTTGGGTCTCAGCCCCTCTGAGGCTAGAAGCTGGGCTGTAGCCAAAGAGCTGACTGGTCATCAGGGGATGGTAGCTCCAGTCCCTGGCGGGTTTGGGGTCCCTCCCTGTGCCAGGCACAGTTTCCCTCCTCTATCCTGAATGGGGACCAGGCCCAGAGGCCTGTGTGAGGAGCCCAGGGAACAGTGAGTCATCTGTGGGACACTCACCTTCTGAGCCCAGCTTCTGTAGCCCGTCGTCGCTGCCCAGCCCCCGCAGCTGCTCCCACTGGCTGGCACAGGCCGAGGCCAGCACATCTCTCACTGCCCGGACAGCTTGGGAGGACTTGGTGAAGCTGAGCTCCCTGGGGGGACCAGGTCCAGGGCCGCACCCCTCTTCCAGGGCCAGCCGTAGTGCCAGGAGCTCCTGTGCCAGACAGGTGCTGGTTAAGTCTCCACTGGACACAGTTCCTCCAGGCCGGGGCGGGGCAGCCCCACCAGGAGGCTGGCACAGCCCCAGAAAGCCAAGCACTCCCTGACTCCACCTCCACCTCCCACCACGGTGGCCCTCACCTGCAGGAAGCTGACTGAGTCTGCTTCAGGGACCTGACCCAGGTTGTGGCGGGCCTGGCTTAGGCGGCTGCGTTGTTCCTCCTGTCGCCGAAGGTCGCCCTGGGAGCGGCCCAGCATGGCAGCCTCCCCCTCCTCGATGAAGCCTAGCACCTCTGTCTGGAAGCCCTGCAGGGTGGCAGCAGCCTCGGCAAATAGCTGGCTCACCCTCTCCCGCTCTGCTACAGCGGCGCTCTGCAAGGACAGCAGTGGAGGCAGCAATGAGGGCAGGGAACAGGCCTGGCCTTTGACTCCACATGCCCACCCTGCCCTCTTGGGGGAATGCAGGAGCTGGATCTGTGACAGGTCAGGGGAGATGCTCATGCTTAATGGGGACTGATAGTGCCCTGAGCATGGTCTTGTTTGGAGTGATTGTACTATGTTGAAAGGTCTTGCTGCCAGTGCACAGGATGGGGGTTAGGGAGGGTCTGACCTTGATGAGGGCCACTGTGCGCCGGGACTGTGCAATGCATGCACCCAGCTCATCCATGCGGTCCTCCACAGCACTCAGGACTTTGGGCTGCTCAGCCTGTGGATGACACCTCTTTGAGTACCAGGTCTGGCAGAGGCCCCAGCCCTACAAAGGTCCCAGGACTTGCCAGGGGAGAGGGGAATGGTGACCAGGGAAAGATATCTGTGGATCAGTGGGATCAGAGTGGCCATCATATCCCATAATATGCCAGGGGTGCCTTCAGCCCAGGATGGTCCATTACCAAATTCCTGGTGAGGGGCAGGCTGACTGTGGGTGTCTGCTTCTCCTCTCATCAGCCCCCAAGACAGGGCCATCAGCTATCCACCCATCTCAATGTTGCTGAAATTAATTTGAGAATTTCCTCCAGCGGGGAAGAGAGTGAGGTGAGACTGTGACCACACAAGAGGGCATAATCCGTGGGGATCACTGTCCCCAAAGAGCCCGCACCCCCAATCCAGGCCTGAATAAAGGGGATTCCGGGCAAATCCCCTGGGTCTTATGAGTCACTGCTCCAGGCAGGAGAGACGGAAAATCCCAAGGCCAGAGGCGTCTGGACCCGGCAAGAGGCCAAAGGAAACTGGGGGCGGGAGGTAGCGGGACGGGACGCTGTGCACATGTTCCCACCACTGCCCGGCCCAGAACAGCTAGACAGAGGATCTGTGTGTCCAGCCCACCCTCTGTCGCACTCCTGTCGCCTGCCACACCCATTCAAAGTGGCTGCCTCATCCTAGGGCAATCTGAGCTGGGACTGGCTCGAGACAAGCGTCATCAGCTCTGCTGCCTTTGCAGGAACCAGCAGCTCCCGCCCCTACCAGGCTCTGGGGGCTAACCCGGCTTCCAGCCGCCTCACATCCCCAGGACACTAACCTGCCTTCAGATCTCCTGCGCCTGCTCGCCCTTCGCGTCCTTTTTAGCAATCTCACTAGTCCCTCCTTCCCACCTTCCCATCTCCACCACCGCGAGCGACAAACATTGTCAAGCCGGGAGTGTAAAGACCCTCAGAGGAGATTAAGACACAACCCAAGAAGAGTGTAGGGTCCACGGCCCTCGGCCTGCTCGCGCACAGGCAGTCACCCCCCGCCGGCCACCTAAGGTGCCCACACCTCACCTCCTGGAGCGCGCGCTCTTGCTCCAGCGTCACGAGCTCGTGGCCGCGGTGCTCCTGGGCGGCGCAGGCCTCGCACAGGCACGCGCGCTCGACGCGGCAGTAGCGCTCCAGCGGCCGCAGGTGGCGCGGACACAGGCTCTCCTCCAGCCGGCGCAGAGGTGGCACAAGGCGGTGCCCGCGCAGTGCGGGGCTGCGCTCGTGCGGGCCCAGGTGCGCGGGGCAGAAGGAGGCAAGGCAGGAGAGGCAGGAGAGCGCCGCAGGCAGGGCCGCGCCCTCGGGGCACGCGTCACAGCGCACGGGCTCTTCCCCGGCGGGCCAGGGCTCCTGTTCGCACGGAGCAGACGGTTCCGGAGCGCTTGGCGGAGCGCTGGGCGCTGAGGGCTCCGGCGTCGGGCGCCGTGCAGGGGCTGGGGCCGGGGAGGGCATGGCTGGGCCCGAGCCCTGGCGTAGCTGCAGCAGCTCGGACAGTGTGTGGTTCTTGCGGAGCTGCAGGCCGTCGGGGAAAGGTTCCTGGCACAGAGGGCAGCGGGCTGCGCCTCCGGAACCTCCCGTGCCTCCTGCGCTGCGGTGCGGCCAGAGAGCGCCCAGGCAGGCGAGGCAGAAGTTGTGGCCGCAGGGCAGCGTCACCGGCTCCCGAAGCGGCTCGAGGCAGATGGGGCAGCTGAAGGGCCCGCTGCCGTCCATGGCTCCGCGGCCGCCTGGCGCCGCCTGTTCTGCTCCCGCCTGGGAGGGACTCGGACCGTTCGCGCCCTGGCTCCGCCCTTTGGGACAAAGGCCAAGGGTCCCGCCCCCCACGTCCCTCCCTAGGCTCGGCCCGCCTCAGCGCAGCCCGCTCGTGGGTCCTCTGACATCGGGCCCGCCTGACTTGAAGAGGCTTCTGCGCGCCCACCCTGCCTGGGTCCTCCACCCCGCGCGCTTTGAGGGAAGCGCTGCTGAAAGAGTGTCAAAGAAACGAGGGCAGGGAATTGAGGGGGGACATAGGAAGGAGTCTGGGAAAGAGTTCCCACCCACCCTTGCCCAGCCCGGGACGCATGGGGAGTGGGCGGGCCCAGATCTGGCACACCCGCACCTTTACTCTCAACTCCAGACCTCCTTGGCACTGTTAGCAAAGGTGGTGAGCTGCTGACTGCAGAGAAAGTAACTGCTGATGTGGGTATGTTTTTGCCCCTTAGCGACTTTATTTACCCCCAGTAGGGAAGTTGGACTTTTCTAGACTTGGAATGGGAAGTTGACGTCACCCCCAAAGTCCCTGGTCTAAGGAATTTAGTCTGGTCAATAGACTCTTGCAGGCACCTATGGTGCGTCAGGGCCAGGATTGGGAATTCCCCAAGAGGAGGCATGGGTTAAGATTCACATGAACCCAAAGTATAAAAAACAAATCCATGAGTTCATGTTAATACTAATGAGTAACTGGGTAAATGAATAATGGGGAAGAGTAGGCACATTCCTCATTCAGGAGACTTCCAAATAATCTTTGTAGGTTCTCCAAGGTGGAGCATAGTTTCCCACTTCTTATGTGTGATTGTGAAGAGAGACTTTCTTGTAAAAGAAGCAAAAGAGTAGTTGCACAGTGGAGAATCCTGCTGAACCCCATTTTAACCAGGTGATCAAGGTCAACATCAAAAGTTAGCATGGAGGGGCTGGGGTTGTGGCTCAGCGGTAGAGCGCTTGCGCAGCATGTGCGAGGCCCTGGGTTCTATCCTCAGCACCACATAAAAATAAAATAAATAAAATAAAGGTATTGTGTTCAACTACAACTAAAAATATATATTAAAAAAAATTAGCATGGACTGACACTTTCTCCCGTTTTAGTCCCTCCAGGACTGGGAATTGAAATCAGACCCTTCAACATTCTAGGCAAGTGCTCTACCACGGAGATAACATCATCCCCAGCACCCCTTCACCTTTTTTGTGACAGAGTCTTGCTGAGTTGCTTAGGGTCTCACTAAATTGCTGAGGCTGACTTTGAACTTGCAATCCTCCTTCCTCAGTTTCTTGAGTCATTGGGATTACAGGTGTGCTCCAACGGGCCTGGCAGAGTGCCTACTTTAGAAAGATGCTATGTTGCTGGGCGTGGTGGCCCAGGTCTGTAATCCCATTTACTCAGGAGGCCGAGGCAGGAACGTAACAAATTCAAGACCAGCCAGGGCAACTTAGTGAGATCCTGTCTCAAACAAAAAAAGGCTTGGGGGCTGCAGTTCAGTGGTAGAGTGCCCCTTCAATCTCGATACCAGCAGAAAAAAAAAAAGAATTCCCCCCCCCGCACCCCCGCACCCCTGCACTCTCCCCCTGGCCCCCAACATTCTAGGCAAGTGCTCTCCCACTGATACTACATCCCCAGGAGGGGCCAGGGCCTGTTAACCTCAGGACCTGCCACAAGAAAGGTCTAGGGTCAGAGTGTCTGGAAGCTGGATAGTTTAAAAACAGCAGAGGCGTTGCTCAGTGTTGGAGCACTTGTCCCTCATGCACGAGGCTCTGGTTTAGTCCCCAGTACTGCCCCCCCACACACACACATGCGTGCACGTGCATGCGCCCTCAGTTGTTCCTCTCACTATTCAGTAAGCCAGAATCGGAAACCAAGATGCCAACAGGCCATTTCTTTTCAGAGAATCCAAGGACAAACCTGTCCCACTCCTGTCTGCAGCTTTTTGTTTGTTTGTTTTAGTTGTAGATGGACACAATATCTTTATTTTATTTTTTATTCATTTATTTTTTATGTGGTGCTGGGGATCGAACCCAGTGCCTCACACTTGCTACACAAGCGCTCTACCACTGAGCCACAGCCCCAGCCCCTGTCTCCAGCTTTTTGTTTAGCTGGCCATCCTTGGTGTTCTTGCTTGTCTGTGTATCACTCTGATATTGGTTTCTATGTGACGTGCCCCCCCCCTTTTTTTTGTACCAGGAATTGAACCCAGGAGCACTTAACCACCAATCGGCATCCAGCCCTTTTTACAGTTTATTGAGAGACAGGGTCTTGCTAAGTTGCTTAGGGCCTTGCTAAGTTTCTGAGGCTGGCTTTGAACTTGTGATCCTTCTGCTTCAGGCTCCCAAGCCACGCCACTACACCTGGCTCCAGTTGTCCTCATTTTAACTTGTCTATGTTCTGCAATACCCTATTTTCAAATAAAGTCAGAGTCATGGGTATGGGGGTTAAGACCTGAATACTTTGAAGGGAGCACACAATTCAACCCAGAACAGTGCACAAGTCAGGAGGAACTTAGGGAACACCCAGATCAGCAGTGCCAGGGGTCATGAATGTCCTTAAGTTCCTATCTCTCTCTGTACTTTAGGACCCTGGCCCTTCCTCATGCTTCAGCACACACTGCTGCCACCACCGCAATCCCTCCTGCCGGGCATTCATGGCTGCCTCTGGCTCTCCAGGTTTAGAAGTGGGATAATCTTAAATCCCTGAGACCAAGTTTTTTTGTTTTCATTTGCTTGAAACTGGGGATTGAACCAGGGGCTGCAGTTATAATTGCCATTCTGATTCAAGCGAGATGGAATCTCTGTGTATTTTAATTTTAAGGGATCCTCTACCCTTAGTTAGGTCCCCAGCTGCATTTAATTTTCTCAAGACAAGATCTTGCTAAATTATCGGGACTGGTCTTGTACTTGGAATCCTCCTTCCTCAGCCTCCCAAGTTGCTGGGTTCATAAGTGTGTACCGTTGCACTAGGACTAGGTTGGAAATTTTTAGAAGGCATTTAACGAATTAAGAACCAAACAGAAAACTGAAGTAGAAGAGTACAAATCTGCCAACAGGCCATTCTTCTTGAATGAATAACACCCAAGCCCATCTGTCTCTGTAGCATTCTCTGGGCCCCCAGGAAGTCCATTCTTGTCATACAAATGGTGCTGAGTGCCACCCTCCACAACTACTCCCCTTCCTCTTCTCCCTGCCAGTATAGGCTGCCCCTCCAGACCTCCCGTCTTCCAAATGATCTAGTCAAGGAGCTGGCTTGACTACATCTGTGTCAGAGTAGAAGTTCGTCATGCAGATGTCCCCATCTGACCCTCTGAGCAGGCCCTTTTGACCTGCACCCATTTTTGTTTTGTTTTGCTTTTGTTGCTGGGGGCGAACCCAGGGCTTCATGCATGACAGGCAAGCACTGTACCATTGAACTGCACCCACAGGCCTGAAGTTTTGTTCTTTTTAAAAGCAGCTTTATTAAAGTTAATTCACAAACTGTACAATCTGAGCATTTTAAGTGTGCAATGCATTGGTTTTTTCTGGTGTTCACAGAATCTTTGTTGTGGGCTGTCTTGGCAATGCAGGAAGGTGAGCAGCATATCCGGCCTCCAACCACAGGTACCAGGAGCACTACCTTAGTCTTGACAATCAAATTTGTCTCCAGATATTGCCCAGTGTCTCTGAAGGGACCAAACTCTCAGCGGGGGGCCTCCTGTTTTATCCAAAGTGTTCAGGCTTCCCTCCCACTGAGCAGGAAGCTGTTATTTCTCTGGTCCCACAGAAAGGCAGGGATTGTCTCCTGACCCCCACCTCCCTGTGTAGCCATCAAGGCTTTGTCCGTCAAGCTCTTCATGGGCGCCTCCCCTGGGCTGTCATCCAAGGCTTTGTGGAGGGTATGGGGTGGGGACGGTCTGTAGGAGTGAAGAAATGCGGGGGGGGGGGGGGGCAGTCTACTGTGGAAAGGAGTCCTGTGTGCAAAGAGCCCTGCCTTAGTTAGGACTAACAGAGGACAGGGACAAGTGGCTTGTAAACAAGAGACATTTGTTTGAGGAGCCTGGAAGGGAACCAGCAGGGTCAGGCTCTGGTGAGGGCTCTCTCCCAGGTTGCAGATTGCTGGCATCTTGTTTAGTCCCCACATGGTGAGGAAGAGGGACAGAGAGCTGGGGCTGCTTTGACAGAGACACTAGCTTCCCCCACAGGGACTCCCTTCTCAAGAACTAATCACCTGGCAAAGGTCCTCCTCCTTGGGGGTTAGGATTTCAACAGGTGAACTCTGGGGGGACAGATACTTTCCGATGATTGCGAACCCCTTTCAGGTAGAGAACAAATGCCAAAAGAGGTACAGTCCATGCCTGGGATTCATGGTGGAGGCTGGGGGATGGTGGAAATGGCCTTTGAACTGGGCTGCCACTGGTTGCTATGGCTCAGGCAGGCGGGAGGGTGCTGGGAAAAGATCTTCTGGATAGAATTTGTAGTGGATGGGGGAAGCCTGGGTGTGCCCAGCTTGGCAGGAAGGCCGATAATGAGTTCCATACGTTGGTTGTTGGTTTAGACCAGGAGCACTGGATCCTGGCTGTCCCTTGTTTGCCAAGACCCAGGGGTGGCTGGGAGGCCCAGGCATCAGCACTACCCTGATCAGAACTTGGCTGTGTGGATTTTGGACTTGCTGAGACCACAGACCTGTGTAGTTCTGGAAGGGAAGGGGCTGCCACTTGAGAAGATCTGCTTTTCCAGGATGATGGCTTTCTTTTTTTTAAAGAACTACCCAGGCTGGTTTTGAACTTGTGGGCTCATGCCATCCTTGACCTAAACCTCTGGAGTAGCTGGGACTACAGGCTGTGCCACGCTTCTGGAACAGTGGTGGCATCACAATAGCACATTTCCATTATCTGAGTTTCAAAGTTGTTGGCCAGTGTCTGGCATCTTTTTGAAATAGTTGGCTATTAGGGGCAAGAGTAACTGACACTTTTGGGCTCAGCAGGAACTTGTTCACACATGCCTCTGGCACCATCCTTATGCGGACTCTATCCTAAAGGGTGGCAAATGAAAGTCTGACAGGTTACACCTCCTGCCACAGCTGGTCCTGAATAACTCTAAACTGTGCAGGACAGTCTGGCTGCAGTATTGCTCAAAAACAAACCCACAAAGAGAAACAATAACAAGCCAGAAACAATTCAGCCGATGAGAATAATTAGAAAGCCATTCCCGGCTTTACTGCACCTCCTTTGAAGGGGATCCAGACTGCCCCACTTCTATGCTTTTTCTTTTTTCTCCCTATGCTGGGGATGAACCCAGGGGTGTTCTACCACTGAGACACACCCCCAACCACTATTTTCTTTTGGTACCAGGGATTGAACTCAGGGACACTCAGCCACTGAGCCACATCTCCAACCCTCTTTTGTATTTTATGTTCAGACAGAGTCTCAATGAGTGCTTAGTGCCTTGCTAAGTTTGGCTTTGAACTCATGATCCTCCTGCCTCAGCCTTCCAAGCCACTGGGATTACGTATGTGCCACCGATCCTGGCCCCCAAACCCCCCCCCTTTTTTAAAAATATTTATTTTTTAGTTGTAAGTGGACATAATACCTTTATTTTTTTATTTGTATTGGTGCTGAGGATTGAACCCAGTGCCTCACGCATGCCAGGCAAGTGCTCTACCTCTGAGCCACAACCCCAGCCCCCCCCCCAACTCCTTCTTAAAAAATATTTTATTTTGAGACAAGGTCTCACCAAGTTGCAGAGGTAAGCCTTGAACTTGAGATCCTCTGCTTCAGCCTCCCTGAGTAGCTGGGACCACCTGAGAGTGGCACTGTACCTGGTTTTCTTTCTGATTTTTTTTTTCAATCCTAAGGATCCATCCCAGGCCCCATGCATGCTGGGCAAGTGTGTTACCGCTGACCTTCAGCCCCAGCCCTCCTTTATGCTTTTCATACACTTTAAAATTTTGGCACACCTGACCGGGCTGGGGATGTGGCTCAAGCGGTAGCGTGCTCACCTGGCATGCGTGCGGCCTGGGTTCCATCCTCAGTACCACATACAAACAAAGATGTTGTGTCCGCCGAAAACTAAAAAATAAATATTAAAATTCTCTCTCTCTCTCTCTCTCTCTCTTTAAAAAAAAAAATTGGCACACCTTAATCCCTGTGATTTGGGAGGCTGACATAGGAGAATGGCAACTTCCAGCCCAGCCTCTGCCACTTACAGAGATCCTCAGCAACTTAGTGAGACTTGTTGAGAGCCACAGTTTAGTCGGAATGACGCCTGGCATTTTGCTAGAGGGAATGGTTGAAGGGTGACCCTGCTCCAGGATTAGGGGGATCCTGCTGGGATTAGGGCAGATCCTGCTGCCTCAGGCGCCCCGCTACTTTGGAGTTCCCGTTGAGTTCTGGGGGGGGGTCGTTCTAGGAGAATTGGCGCGGGGAGCCTGGTGGAGGGAGTGTGTGTAGAGTGCCGGTGAGAGTTCAGGAATAAAGAGTTGCTGTTTGAACCTTCAAGGCTTTGTGGCGGCTCGGTTAGTTTGTGCCCAGCCAGACTGCGGCAGAGACTGTCTCAAATTAAAAATAAAAGGACTGGTCTGGGGTGGTGGCTCAGTGGTAGAGCACTTGCCTGGAATATGTGAAGCCCTGGGTCCGATTCTCAGCACCACATAAAAACAGATGAATAAAGTAAAGGTTCATGAACATCTAAAAAAGTATATTAAAAAATAAAATAAAATAAAAGGACTGACTATATAGCTTAGGGTAAAGTGCCCCTGAAGAAATTTGGAACCTAATATTGAAGCTCTGGGTTCCATCCCCAATGTCAGAAAAAAAATTTCTTTTGACTTATACACATATTTATTCGGTATCTTAGGTTATTCAAAGAGTAAACAGTTTGCTGAAGCCATGACAGAAATCAGCAGACCTGGCTGACCTGCTGCAGGGCCCTGCTTGGCACGGACAGCTTCTCCTTGTAACGTTCTTCTCCCACGTAGTTGTTGGTGCTCCTGTTTTAGATGTGTCGTCACTTCTCTTTGGTGTCAAATTCCCCATTCCTGGATGGCATTAGAGCAGATTATGCTAACTGAAGTTAGCCAGTCCCAAAAAACACAAATGCCAAATGTCTTCTCTGATATAAGGGGGGGGTGACTCAAAATGGGGTAGGGAGGAAGAGCATGGGAAGAAGACTACCTCTAGATAGGGAAGAGGGGTGGGAGGGAAAGGGAGGGAGAAGGGGAATTGCATGGAAGAGGGAAGGAGACCCTCATCCTTATACAGAATACAGGTATGACGATGTGAGGGGGAAAAAAAAAAGAAATGGGTCACATTAGATTGGGTAGATAGAAGTGATGGGAGGGGAGGGGAGGGGAAGGGGGGAAGGGAAGGACAGCAGAATGAAATAGACTTTATTATTGCTGTGGGTATATATGTGACTGCATGACCAATGTGATTCTGCAACCTGTACACTCAGAAAAATGAGAAATTATACCTCATCTGATTCAAATGTATGAAATGTCAAGGTCATTGTACTGTCATGTGTAACTAATTAAAACAAATAAATTTTTTTAAAAAAATTCCCCATTTCCTGGCACCCAACTCTTCCTTCCATTTGTTAATTCACTTGTTCATTTTTAAAAAATATTTATTTTTTAGTTGTAGTTGGACACAATACCTTTATTTCACTTATTTATTTTTATGTGGTGCTGAGGATCAAACCCAGGGTCCCGCACGTGCGAGGCGAGCTCTCTACTGCTGAGCCCCAGCCCCAGCCCCAGCCCCAGCCCAGCCCCTTACTTGTGCATTTTTGAAGTCTGTCTAATGGAGCTTCCTCAGAAGACCTGCCAGTGTCTCTGTTCAGGCTTCCTGCCTGGTTGCCAGTTGGGCCCCGCCTGGGGTTCCAGGGTGGGATCCTTTCCCCTCAGAATCTCAAGGGCAGCTCCACTGTCTCCTTACTGCCTGTCTGAGCCACTAGAAGCCACATTGCCCAGTTGCCACTCGGTGCCCATCCTGCCCAGAAAAGAGCAGCCCTTATCCTCTTTTACCCTTTGCCTCTCTGGTCTCGGGTCCAACTCCCGCCAACCCCGTGAGGTTTTCAGAGCCTCTCCTGCTCTTGTCCTGCCTCAGGTGTCCATCACCCTAATTCTGCCTCCCAGAAGCCCAGGATGGGGCTCTTGTGGATGGGGCAGGGAAACCAGGAACCAGAAATCGTCAAATGTATCCCTAGTGCAAAAAATATACTCCAAAGTCTGTCCTGCTTTTTCACCTGCAACAGGGCATTCGGCCCAGAGGAGTTGGAAGGTTCCATTGGAATCAGAAGGTGGAGTGAATTTGGTTGGAAGTTTTCTGGGAAATTAAGGGCTCACCCCTACACCTAGTTAAGAAGCTCTGTTCTAAACCAGGTGTGGTGGCACTTACTTATAATCCTAGCTACAACAGGAGGCTGAGGTAGGAGTCTCCCAAATTCAAGGCCAGACTCAGCAGCTTAACTATACCCTGACTCAGAATAAAAGTAAAAAAGGGCTAGAGTGTGTGGCCCTTGATCAATTCCCACTACCAGGCTAGCAGGGGACGGGGGTGAAGCACTGCTATATATGACCCTTTATTAAAGTGGCATAAAAATCTTGTCATATGCAAATAAAGAAAGAGGTTAATATATATGGTACCAGGGATTGAACTCAGGGGCACTCAACCACTGAGCCACATCCCCAGCTCTATTTTGCATTTTATTTAGAGACAGGGTCTCACTGAGTTGCTTAGTGCCTTGCTTTTGCTGAGGCTGGCTTTGAACTACAGAACCTCCTGCCTCAGTCTCCCGAGCTACTGGGATTACAGGCGTGTGCCACCACGCTCAGAAAAATAGGTTAATATTTGCAACATAGTCATGCCCACAGGACTGACCAGAAAGGACTAACAAGATGATCAGAAGGGACATCCATAGAAGAATAGGTGACCGAAAATATCTCCCATTTTGGAAGCAGAAAGGGGGCCATTCTTCCTTCCTCTGTCCCCTCAGTGGGCTTAGCAAACTGGCCATTTCTGCTGCAGCTTTTGATGACCCACTGGCCTCACTGACCCTGCTTGCACCTCCCTGGGCCTTTCATTCCTGCAGGAGTCCATAGCTGTTAAGCAAGGGCCTGCTGGGTCTTCTGCTGGCTGCTTGGTGTCAGGACCCCCTCCCCATGTTTGAGAGCTCCCCACCTTATGATTCTTGTTGGAAGGTCCTTCGCAGGTGGCAGTCATCAGAGGCCCAGCCCTGCTCTTGGACATCTAGCCGGCCACAAGGTGGGGAGCAGGGATACCAGGGTGGAGTTTGCAGTCGCTAGGGAATGGTCATGATGCGGGAGGAAGATTTTCTTTTCTTTCTTTCTTTTTTTAATATATATATTTTTAGTTGTCCATAGACCTTTATTTTATTTATTTATGTGCGGCGCTGAGCATCAAACCCAGTGCCTCACACATGCTGGGTAAGCGCTCTACCACTGAGCCACAACCCCAGACCTTTTTCTTTTCTTTTTTTTTCCAAACACAAGTTGAGTATCTCTTATTTGAAAGAGATGCAAATAAAGTGTTTCAGATTTTAGAATATTCTCATGTATACGAGATATTTTGGGAAGAGGGCCCAAGTGTAAATATGAAATTCATTTCTTTTTTTGTTGTTGTTCTTCCTAGTTACACGTGACAGTAGGGGTATTTGACATACCTCACATTCATGGAGTAGAGCTTCCCGTTCTTGTGGCCGTACGTGACGTGGAGTTTCACTGGTCGTGTATTGATTCATACATGAACATGGGAAAGTGACGTCTGATTCCTTCTCCTGACTGAACCATTCCCCTCCCTTCCCTTCCCTTCATTCCCTTTCGTCTAATCCACTTCGTCTTCCTCCCCTGCTATTTCAGTCAGCTCTTCCACGGCTGTGACTAAAAGACCCAACTGGCACAATTGTAGAGAAAAAGTTCATTAGAGGGCTCAAGGTTTCAGAGGTCTCAATCCATAGACAGCAGGTGCCATTCCTTGGGGCTCAAGGTCTGGTAGAGGGAAGCCACTCACTTGGTGATCAGGAGCAGAGAGAGACTCTCAAAGGGACTCTCCCAGGGATCCACCTCTTCTGTCCGCACCCTACTCACCTTCAGTTGCCACTCGGCTAGTCCCATCCAGATTAATTAACTGACTGAGTTAAAACTCCCACAATCCAATCATTTCTCCTCTAAACCTTCTTACATTGTCTCACACACGAGCTTTTGGTGGACACCTAATATCAAAACCATAAGACCTCTTATTATGTGTTAGCATCCACATATCAGAACATTTGGCCTTTGGTTTCTTGGGACTGGCTTATTTGAAATTCAATTCTGTTTCAGGTCCACCTTGCATACGAAAGGTGGCTTGTGTGGCTCAGTGGTTAAGTGCCTCTAGGTTTCATCCTCAGTACCCAAAATAAATCTTTATTGTGCCAGGCATACACCTGTAATCTCATGTAATCTCAGCAACTCAGGAGGCTGAAGCAGGAGAATTATAAATTCAAGGCCAGCCTTAGCAACTTAACAAGACCCTGTCTCAAAATTAAAAAAAAAAAAAATTAAAGGACTGGGGATGTGGCTGTCAGTGGTAAAGTGTCCCTGGGTTCAATCCCCATTATGCACCCCCCAAAAAACCTAAAACATTTATTGTGAAATGTTTATTTATGAGTATATAAAACACAGCAAAGGGTTTAAAAAAATTAAAAAAGCAAACACCCTTGTAAACACCACCCAGACCATGAAAGTAGAACATTTCAAGTAAAAAAAAAAAAAATTACATTGGGCTGAGTATGTGGCTCAGTGGTAGAGCATTTGCCTAGCATGCACAAGGTCTGGGGTTCCATCCATCCCCAGCCCAGAGAAACAAAGCAAAAACTGCCAACAGTCTAGCATCCCCTTTTTGGAAATGAGCACAAATAACAAACATCTTCATGGAAACATGTTCTGGAATAGCAAAATCCACACTGAAACAAAAGGAGTTCACACTTGCCAACACCTACACCCACCATACATCTGATTCCCATAACCCACAGGTTGGGTTAATGAGAGTTGGAGTACCTGTCATGCCAACTTGCCTAAGTCACCTGGCTGGTCAGTGACGGTGGGGGGCAGTCATGTGGCTCAAGGCTGCTTCACTGCAGCCTTACCTATAAAAAAAATTCAAATGCTCATTACCTGAGCTGGGCGCAGTGGTACACACCTGTAATCCCAGCAGTTCAGGAGGCTGAGGCAGGAGGAACACAAGTTTCAGAGCCAGTCTCAGCAACTTAGTGAGTCCCTAAGCAATTTAGTGGGACTCTCAAAATAAAAAGGGCTGGGGATATGACCCAGTGGTTAAAGTGACCCTGGGAACAATAAATAAATAAATAAATAAATAAATACTCATTGTGTTAATGACAAATAAGTTTACTTTAGGAATTTAGCCTAACCATAAATATGGCCAAAAATTCCTGCTAAAAGTATTCATCAGCAATACTTTTATAGCCAAAAATAAAACAATTTAAATGTTCAATAATGGGAAAATAAATTTGAGTCATTAGAATGTTTCTTGGAGTCGTTTGTGGCTCACTTGCCCACGTGCTGACCGATCCTTCCATCTGCATGGTCTCCTGGCAGGTAAACTAGGGCTGATAGATCTTATTTGGTCCCACATGCTCTCCTGGAAGGCTACACGCGCGCTGCTCTAGTGTGCCAGGCCCAGGTAATGCTAAGAACTAGGTTCTGCTCGGGGATAGGGTCTCCTATTTCATCCCCTTCTGGCCCCTGTTCCCTTCAAAGTAGCTAGAAAGGAAACTCGGTTGGGGCTCCCCATTGCCTCCCTCTGACTCAACAGAGGCCAATACCTTGTTGTTTTAGACTCTGGCCTCAGGTCCCCAGGTCAGAGGCTGGCCTGCACCTAGGCATACGAGGCACAGTGGTACCTGTCCATAGCCAAGAGTTCCACCCTGTGCCTTCCTCAGCTGAGACCTGAGCTCTTTTCCTGGGACCCTGGAGGGAGCTCGGCTCCAGGCTGATGGCACAGGGTGAGGGTCCTCCCCTCCAGGAGCCAGAAAACGGGGCAAAGGGGCCGGTTGAAGAGGGCATGGAAGGTGTGCAGGAGCTTAGTCTGCGGCTCCAGGCTGTAGAAAGCAAGGCAGCCTGAGGTCAGGTCCAAATCCATGCCCACCAGCCGCCCAGACAAGCTGGGGAGGCGCTGGACCTCTCCCTTGTGCCAGGCCTGGACGCTGTCTTCCTGTACGCAAAGGCCCCAGGACGAGGGTCCACGGCCGATGTTGTCTGTGTGGGTTCCCTGCTTGCGTCGCATCAGTTCTGGGTAGGCGACACCCAGGGTCACTGAGTGGCCAGAAGTACGCACCTCCCAGTAGTGCCGTCCAGCCTGGAAGCTCTGGGAACACTGCACCTGCCAGAGCTCAAAGTTCCCTGGCTGGGCTGGGCCCTGGGGCTGGCGATGGTGCTTCACCTGCTGGTTCTGGTGGGACAGGAGGAAGTGGCGATTGGCACTATCTGGGTCAAAGGTGAGATTGCGATAATCTGTTGGGGAGAGATGGACAGAAGTAGGTAAAGGTGCCATCCTATCCCCAGGGGCGGGGGGTGAGCAACCACCAAATGTCTGCCAGGCTGAGCACTGGGTGTCTTTGCAGCATTTAATCCTTACTGCTTCTTCAGAGGTGGAATCGTCTATGAGCTCCATTTCATAAGTGAGAAAACTGAGGCTCACGGCTCACAGATAAGCTAACTGGGTATCAAGTGAGAGACGAATCATGATAGATTAATGTCTATGTGATCAGAATCTGTCCTTTAACACTATGCTGGTTGCACCTGGTGCAGGGTGGATGTGGACGCGGTGTGTATCCTGCAATAGGTACGCACGGGAAGGACCGGAGGACAGATGACCTACACAGGACAGTCACAGCAGGCGCCTGCTGACACGCTCACACGTATGCACAGACATGCATGCACAGTACACACAGACAGGCCTTGGGCCTCCTTACTCTGCCAGAGTTCCCTCCTCAGCGGACACAGCATGCGTGTGCTTGGGACCTGTGCCAGGGAACGCGGGGCCTCTAGGGAACAAAGCAGTATTAGGGGAATGGATGTGGAGGCCAGCAAGGCAGACCCCTGACCTTTTCTGCCTCTTAGTGGGAGGAACAGCTGGGCCCAGACAGGTAGGGGGAGGTCTGGGGTCAGCCTTACCCAGAGGGCCCGAGTCAGCAGTCTTGGCTGGCACTCTGGAGGGGTGCCCCTCTTCCAGGAGAAGGCCACAAAGCAGGCTCAGCAACTCCTTTAGGTCACCCAGCTGCTGGTCTTCATCCCACTGTGGAGGGGTCAGCGGCCCAAGGGGTTCTGGGGGCTCAAAGAGCTGCTGTGACTCCTGAGAGCCCCAGCGAAAACCACAGTGAACCCAGGTACAAGGGCAGGGAAGCCTGGCCCCGGTCCACTGCCCTCAGGCTGGTACCTGCAAGAAGGTGTGGTCATCCACTTGCTCCAGGAGAGCCTGTACCCTGCGGCTATATTGAGCCAGGGCCTCCAGGTGGCTGTGCAGCCGCCGCTCCTCATCCTGGGCCTGTGTTAGTGCCTGTGTCTTGGCAGTCTCGATGCCTTTCAGCGCCACGGCCCTCCGTATCTCCAGGGCCTGCAGCAGGCAGCTGAACTTGCCAGAGACCACTGAGATCAGATTGCAGGCTGAGTTCTGTGTGGGCACAGGAGGAGCATCAGGGTGGCCAGGGCCTGAGCCACGCCAAGGCAGACCTGGGTTCAGGTGTAGGATGCGGAGAACCTCTTCCCCCTGGGGCAGAATCCTGCCTAGGCCCTCACTCCCTGCTGCCAGTAGGTGTTTTCAAGATGGCTCACATATCCAGGGACCATCTGGTGGCTGTCCACAGGACAGTGTGAGGATGTAGTGGGATGACCACTGGCAGGCCTCCTACCTGGATCTGGCTGCTTTGTTGCTGCAGCTCCTGGAGCTGGGTCTTGGCCTGAGTGGCCTGCTGCTGGGTGATCTCCAGCTTGGCTCTCAGCTGGACCTGTGGTGCCCATCCAGGGGACGAACAAGAGAGGGCCAGAATTGGCTGTGAAATCTCCCTGAGACTACCACCACCACCACTAGCAGAAGCTGGGCACCCTCTGCATGCTGCCCAAATCTGGGGTGACCAGAGGGTTAGCACACAGCAGCAGCCTCAGCATAAGCCTAGGAGAGCAAGGTCAAACTCCAGGGAGGCCTGGACAAGGCCTCAGCTTCCACTGTTGCAGATGGTGCATGGGCAGCACAGAAGCCTTGGGTTAAAGACCCAACTTCCAGTTCCTGCTTCACTTATGCCTCTTGAAGTGTGAGCAAACTGGGGCAGAGCCTCTACCTCTGTGGGCAATAGCCTCTTCTCCACCCGCAAGCAACAGATGGGAGCAATCATGCTGGTGCAGGAAAACTGTGGGGAAAGGCCATCTGACAACGTACCAGAGCTGTCTGACAAGTGGGTGCTCTGGTGCATATGGGCCCAAGTGGGACGGGGACCTCTATTTGGTTGCGCTGATTCCCTTGAGGAACAAAATGTGTTCTCATGGGAACAGGAGACCATGCTGATGCCAGGAGTCCCTGTTCCCCGGCCACTGCTAGGACTGGTTCCTTGTACCTGGTCAAGAACCTTACTACTCGATTCTGCTCCTCCCAGTACTGTTCTGAGGTGGGACCAGTATCCACTGATAGGAAACGGGCTGAGAGAGGCTGACAATTTGGTCAGTTCTCAGAGCTTTCTAAGTCTAATACTTGTGGCTTCTGCCCAGACCTTCTGCCTCCAGCATTACAACCCGCTGGGGATGTCCAAAGTGAGGGGACAGCCCCTCTTGGCTCACTCAACCCTCCCTGAAGGACAAGCCTCTGTCCCCTTACCCCTTGGGTATTCTCTCCAGCCACCCCATGGCACTCCCCTTTCCAGTAAAACTCTGCTCCTCTGGACCATGTGCCATTTGGCAGAATCTCCTGCCCTGGCCCTGCTCCTTGTAGCAGTGGTCTCATGGTCTCTGCTGCAGACTCGGGGGCCTAGCTCAGTCTCCTGCGGCTGCCATGAGCAGAAACATCTCAACCTCATTCTCGGTGGCTTCAGCAGCCACAGGGATCACCCTCCAACAGCCTTCTTTCCATCTTAGCCACTCACTCCTGTGACCTCATGATAACCCTAGCCCCAGATCCAAACTCTCTATTCCAGGCATTCATTTTCTGACCACCACCTCCTGTCCCTTACTTGTTCCAGCCCATTTGTCCCCCCATCTTCCCACCTTGGCATGCCCCAAGTAGGCAACCCTCTGCCTCCCTGTCCAATGGGTCTCCTGGCTACCATGCACCAGCACCCTGCCGCTCCTTAGAACACCCTGTCTGCCCCATCCCCAGAGAATTCATTCCAACATCCTCCCTGCTGAAATGGCTACGGGCAAGGGCACCAGACACTAATGGTGTCAATCCGAAAGCCATTTTCATCTTACCTCCTAGCAGCATGGAGCACCCCAGATCACATTCTCCTTCCTGCAATCTACTGTCCCCTGCCACCATGCCAAGCACTCTCCCAGGTAGCTCCTACTTGGTTTGATCGCAGGCAGGGCTTCCTCTATCCTGGGCTCAGCAGAAGACCCCACTCCTTTCCGGGACCATCTTTCTCCTTCTTGTTCAGCTGTCCTTGAGATCGCAACAGATGCCTATGATCCCTCTCCTGGTTTGTCCCACTGGTGTCCCCAGTCCCAAACTCTGCTCTCTACTCACACTTCTCAGCACACTTTAGCCCCAGCACTTGCTCAAGACAGAAACCAAGTCCCTAGCGGCCGACCTCCACAAGGGACTATGACTTTTACTCATGGATTTTCCTCCCCTGACTTCAGCTTCTCCTTGTCCCTAAATTCCTGTTGTGGACCTACCTACTTGGGTCTCACCTCCTGCCCGCTCCACACCTCAATAGGGATCAATCTTCACAAAGCTGAAGTGGGATCTCATTGATATCCTGTTCCAAGCCTGCAAGGGTTCCCCACCCCTGGGTTTCTACAGAGAGTGGGCTCCTCACCAGGCCCCACTGCCTCTCATGGTCTGGCCCCTGCTGACCTGGAAGGCCTCCAGGAGTGCCGGTTCTTTCCCACCCTCTGACTGTGGCCCAGGCTGCCTGGTCACCTGGATGCTCTTCTCCAGATCCTTCTCCTCCTGGCTGGCACTCCTTCAGCCCTCAAGGGTCACCTAAAGGCCACTTCCCCTCTCTCCTTATGGCCCCCTTAAGCAGGGTTGCCTTGTTGTCTATTGCAAGGACACGCTCTCTGTAACACAGCTTGCTGTTCAGGGTGTCACTGGGTTTTTGTTTTGTTTTTGTATGGAGGGATGGAAGCAGAGGCACTTTAGCACTAAGCTACATCCCTATCCTTTTTATTTCTGAGAAAGGGTCTCACTAAATTGTGGAGGGTCTCACAAAGTTGCAGAACTTGCGATCCTCCTGCATAAGTCTCCTAAGTTGCTGGAATTACAGGTGTGAGCCCTGGTGTTCGACAATATATTTAGGTTTTAATGGGACCTTGACCCCTTTAGTGGATCCTAAGCCTCTCCAGGGCACAGACCACAGATGACTTATTGATCAGTATGCTCCCCCTCCCCTCATACTGCAGGGGTTCTGCGCATTTACTGCTGCACACAACATTTAACCAGGGACCGAGAATGGAGTAGGGGTCCACTCCAAAGCCCCTGGCTTTGCATTCAACCAACCGGAGGGCTGCACTGAGCAGCTCCGCAGACCTGGTGAGCCCTGGCGGGGGCTGGTTACCCCATAACTAAGTCTGGGCCTGCAGCCTTCTGCTTCAGCCCGCGAGCGCAGCGCCAAGCGTCTGCGAGGTTTCGAGGCCCTGCCCCTCCCGCCCGGTCGCCGCGGCGTCACCTCGCGCTCGCGGCGCTCAGCGTCCAGCAGCGCCCGCTCGTGGAGGTCACAGTCCAGCACGGTGCAGGCGCTGCACACGCAGCGGCCCTCAGTGCGGCAGAAGAGCTCGAGCGGACGCCCGTGGCGCGGGCAGCGCGCCCTAGCGCCGGGGTCCGCACGGGGGTCCGCGCCGGCGCCGGGGCGCAGCAACTCCAGCAGGTCGCTGAGCGCCACGTTGCGGCACAGCTCCGCGCCATCGGGGAAGGGCTGGCGGCACTCGGGGCACTCTTTCTGACAGCGGCGCCAACAGTCCTGGATGCAGGCCCTACAGAAGTTGTGGCCGCAGGGCAGAGTCGCCGGGTCCCGGTAGAGCCCCAGGCAGATGGCGCAGGTCAGCTTGTCCTCCAGCTGCAGCGCGGCCATGGCGGAGGCAGCAGGAAGGCCGGCCGGCGTCTCTTAAAGGGACCGAGACTGCTGCAGGCGTGGCTACCGCGGGAGGAGCCAGCACCCTGCCCAGGAAGACAACGCACCCACTAGGGCAGGTGCTGGGCACCGCGGGTCGGACTCTTGCGTGGTCCTTCTCCGACCGACAGCCTCCCGCTTCCCTAGGCGTAGCCAGGGTTGGAGGTTCTGGGCCAGGGGCCATCAAGGAACCTCATCTGAGTAGACCCTCCTTCACCCCCGGCAAGTTTGGGCAGTTAAATAAATTAGACCTGTGGGACCTGATAAGAACCCCAGGGCACAGCTACAGCTCAATAAATGCTCCCTCCAGAGCGGAGACGCTGTTGCACTTTTTCCTGGAACTGTGTTCCCAGGCACTTGCCAGACTGGGGCGTCTCCCTTCTCTGGGTTATGAGTAATTTTTTTTTTTTTTAAGTAAACAGATGGAAATTTCTGATAACCAAGAAACCAGTAAAGTTGTTGTTGTTGTTTTCTTCTCCAAGGGCCCCTTTAGAGGACACCCAGTCACCCTCTAGCTGCTGGGCTTCATATGACCTCCTGTTAGGGTGAGTTCCTGGTCTGGAACTTCAAGCTGTTCCTGGACGCCACCCTCCCCCCTTTTTTAGTTGTCAGTGGACCTTTAACTTATTTATTTTTATGTGATGCTGAGAATTGAACCCAGTGCCTCACACACATGCTAGGCAAGCACTCTACCACCGAGCCACAACCCCAGCCCCTGAACCCCATTTTTATTGGGTAACCCAAACATTTCCCCTGTGGCTGAGCAGAGTAGAAGGGGCCTGAGTACTTGCCCATGGCCACCCTGGGCAATTGTGTGGTCAAGTCAATAGGGTGGTAAGGGGGCAGCCACACTTCCTTTTACCAAGCAAGCCTGACATGCCTGAGATGCAGCACCATGCCCTCTACAGTGATACTGTTATCTTTCTGGAAAAGGTGATAGATTCCCCCCTTGACCTTCTGCAAGAAGACCTTTAGGGAGGGGGAAACACCTAGCCATCCAGTGAGCCATCCAGGGTCTTGGTCTGGAGTGGAGATTGGGTCAGAGGTCTCTGCAATGAGTTGCTGCCTTGCCTGGCCAGGTATTACATCCCAGGTATGGGGGCAGGAGTTTGCCACCATGCAGAGGCAGCGATGCTCAGGGCTGGCGTAGCTCAAGAGCTTATGGGTATATGAATACATGACCAGTGTAACTCTATATCATGTACAACCATAAGAAGGGGAAGTCATACTCCATAACTAAAAAGAATTTAAAAAAGTAAAAAAATAAAATAAAATAAATAGGGGCTGGGGATATATAGCTCAGTTAGTAGAGAGCTTGCCTTGCATGCACAAAGCCCTAGGTTCAATCCCCAGCATTGAAAAAAAAAAAAAAAGTCGGGGTGGTGGGGAAGAGCTTATGGGACTAACCAAGGCCCACTGCCCATATCTTCTTCTGTGTCTTCTGAAGCCACTGGATCATAGTGCTCTGGCCCTATCTGAAGGTGGAGGTGAGAAGAAACCCTCTTCCACCCATGAAGCAGTACAGCTCCACCAGGGGGCTCTGGCTTCTCCTAGAATACAGACCCAGACCAGCAAGAGCAGAAGTCATCTTTATTCACACCCTTCCATTCCCACCTGACAACCTCCTTTGCTCCCAGCCTTGGGCCTGATGGGACAGGCCTATAGAGGGGCTGCCTCAGGCAGGGACCAGAACCCCAGAGCTCAGACCACAGGAGCTGTCTTTCCTGTTCCTGACAGTCCAGCAGACCCTCCAAAGTGGGTACACTATGACCCCTCAGTAGATGCCATAGGTAGGCTCATGACTGTCCCTATACCGGTCCAGGTAGCGCAGGGGCTGTCGGTGCGGGAAGCGTTTCTGCTTGGGGTGGTAAGGGGGCGGCCTCACAAACTCAAACACGGGCTCCCGCATGTCTGCAAGAAAAGTGAAGGACCCAGGGGTGGACTCCTGCCAGGGACTGCCCACCTGAGGGGCAGCAGGCCTGCCAGGAGCCATCTCCAACCAAGGCACACAGGAAAGGTTCATGTGCTCAGGCCCATCCCACTCCCCCTTACCCAGAAGCTGGTGGAAGGTTTGGGTGACTGAGTCATCCCAGCGGCACTGAAAGAAGGCCAAGCCAGCTGGAGTCATGGCTTCCTGGTGTTTCTTGTAGAAATCAAAAGTGTGGAAGGTCCTCTGGGCCAGCTGGTAGCTGTAAGATGGGGAACATCTGAGAGTGGGAGGGGGCACCAGAGCCCTGCCCCCTCACAGGCAATCTGGCAGGCTTCCTAGGGTTGGCCTGGTATACAGTTCTACCAGTCTCAAGGTGTAGGTCAAATGAGCCAAAGCAAGAACCACCATCTTGGGGAAGCTGCTCTGAGGTCTGGGACAGACGTGTGTGGGGTACAAATTACCAGGGTGAAGGGCGGGTGTCCTCAGAGAAGTCGATTGGCTTGTCCTGCTTGAAGAGCAGAAAGGCGAAGCGGTGGAAGCCGGTGCCTTGGGCAGGGAAGGGGGGGAGATAAGGACAAGTCTCCTGTCCTTCAGTCACTCTGTTGCCCGGGATGTTGGTTCTGGTTGGAGGGAAGTAGTAATTAACTGCCACTAGGAGATGGCAAGAACACCCTTAGAATGTAAACCTTAGAGGCTGATGTCATTCCCTGTGGGTACAGACCCTGACCAATCTCTAGCAGAGCTCTGTGACCCCCTCAAACATAATGCAAATAGGTAGAGGGAGCAAGAGGGGCCCAGAGGTTGAGGACAAGGCTTCCAGAGACCACATGGATGACAGCAAGGCCGAGCAGCCCATTTACCAGGACCTGGGAGCCAGGGGGTCTGCCCTAGTCATTCGGGCTGGAAAGCTCCACCACCTTTGGGCTGACTCTCTGAGGCCTGAGGGTCTGGTCACGGAAGAGCTGGCCTGGCCTGGCACTGGGGTGGCAACTTTACCTGCCCAGGTACAACTCTCCAGAGGGTCCTGCTCCACAGGCTGGTAACTACAGTTGAATGAAAATGACAAACCAGCCTCCCACTTAACTGGCTTTAATTACCCAGAAGTCTCAAAGCTGGGGTCGTCTGCCTGACCTCCCCCTGGCCTAGTGTTCAGAGCCAAGACCCACCAAGAAAACGAAGGGCACCCCAGTCTGAATTGCCTGGGGAAGGAATGCCCAGCGGCTCAAGACTGTTTGGAGATGTCACAACTGCCAGAGGCCTCTCCCAGTTCTTTCCCCCTTAGTCACAGTGCCCCTCAGAGTAGGTAAGAAACATGGTGGCAACATCCCAGTTTTACAGGAAAGGCTGTGGGTTCTGAGATGAAGAGGCCGTGGGAGCCAGCCGAGGGCCACTGCTGTTTCCTTCCTTACTCATCTTCAAGGGCCCCTGTGCTTTCAGGAGGCACTGGTGAGAGGTGGGAGGTTAATTCAAAATCCTATGGTTAACCTATGGTGAAGCCAATTCTGAAATCCAGGGGCTGTTCTTTCCAGGCTCCCAGGGCCTCTCTGCAATCCCCTGACCCGCTCCCACTCCCGACCAGATACTCACAGCAGCCAGTGGACGTATTCTGCATCTGGCTCCAGCAGGTGTCCATCTGCATAGAAACACACCTCACTAACCAGGGTCCTGATTCTCCTCCCCTGGAAGGAGGTGATACTGGAGCTCTCCATCTGGTCCTGGCCCAGTGCCCTGACCCAGGGGAGGAAGAAAGGGGAGGAAGAAAGGGGAGGAAGGAGGCTCAGTAAACCGCGGACACCTACCCAGATTGGTAAGCAGCAGTGTCCACATGGAACCCTCGTCTGCTTCATAGGTCACCTCTGGGGACTGGGCAGCCTGGCAGGGAGAGAACAGGAGAGCTGCCACTCCAACCAAGGATAAGCTGTTACAAACAATTTCTTTCTGGAGGGCTGTAGCCTGAGGGGGGTCTTGCAGAAGGCAGTGTCCATTCTGGCCTAAATCAGGCCTCTTGACATCTGCTCAGAGGCATGTAGACAGAGATGCTTACAGAAGGAGCCCTGAAGAGTTGCCTGTCGTGAGATCTAAATGCAAAAGGGACCATGTGCCAAGAGACAAGGCCTGGGACTAAACTCCAGACAGTAGCTAGTCCCAGGAATGTGCAAAGATGGAGCTTCTTTTTCCTGTTTTGTATTATTGTCTTTGTAACTGTCTTGTGTTTCCCAGAAAATCAAAAAGACAGAGAGAACCACAGAACCCCACACCTGGGAGCTGTGATGGTGCAATGGGATGTGTCTGTGTGCACACAGGACAGGGAGAAGGGCACGCTGCGTGGTACCTCAGTTGGAGTCACTTCATTGCCATGGTACACAGGCATCAGGTCCTCCTCGCCCACAGCATAGGCCACATGCAGGGGAACCCAGGGCACGAAAGTGGCACTGTGGAACAGGTCTCGGTAGAGGCCGTAATACTCAGCCAGGCGCTGCTTGTGGTAGGGGCCGCAGGTCCTCTCCCACTCAGCTCGCACAGCCTCCAGGGGGATGCTGGCTGGGAAGGAGTGAGGCCAGTTGGATGCAAGGTGGGGACAGGGACCCACCTAGGACCCTTCCCGTCAGGGATTACCTGTGCGGAGGCGAGCAGCCCGCTCTTCTTCCACATTGGCCCGAAGCTCCCTTAGAACCTGCTTCCGTTGGTGTAACTGTTGGGTACGGCAGACCTTGGGTGGAGGCAGTCCAATGTCAACTTTGTCTTTGGGATCTGGGGAGGAGTGTGTTGGAGGAAGCAGGATTACATCTCTAGGCTAAGCTGCTGCCCCTACCTAGTTCTATTGCTCTGTAGTTCCAGCCTCTGCTGTTGTCCTTCTCTTTGGTTCACAAAACTAAAACACATTGTGCGGTCTGCTTCCCAGATCTGAACAGGGCCCCGCTAAACAAATAAGATATAAGGTGAGGTTGTGTTTTCTGATGTCTAAACTAGGTCTCACTGAATCATATGGGTCATGGAAAATTAAGGCAGATGTCATAATTACAGTTAGGATTCACAGTGGGCTATGGACATGCACCTGTGTCCTTAGTGGAATGAACAGCTGAAGTCAGAAGGATCAAAGAAGCACTTCTCACCTTTAATGGGGAGATAAATCGAACAGCCTCAGAATTTTGTTAAAATTCAGATTTTGATTCAGGCCCTGCATTTCTTTCTTTTTCTGGGTGGGGGTGGAGGACTGGGTATTGAACCTAAGTAGTCTAACACATCCTGATCCTTTAATATTTTTTTCCTTCAATTTTGAGACAGGGTCTCATTAAATTATGGAGGCTGGTCTCCAACTTCCCATCTTCCTGCCCCAACCTTCCAAGTAGCTGGTATTACAGGCCTGAACCACCACACCAGCACACTTTGCCTGCGGTTCTGGTCCCAGAACACAGTTTAAGTAGTAAAGCCCTGGAGAACTTTCAATCTATCACCATTATCTATTTACATGAGAGGCAACCATGTATTTATTGAGCCCTCATTCGGAATGGTATTAGTGTAAAAATTTCTGCATCCTTTAATCCTCATAGAAATTTGGTGACAAAGCCACAATTATTTCATTTTACTGGAAGCTTAGGGACATCATCGGAAAGAAGTTGGGCTGCGGTTTAAATCAGGCTATCTAGTATGCCTGTAAGCATCATAAAAACTGCCTCTATAAATGCTTCCAAAAAAGGATGTGCTCAGTAAGAATGAGTTCTTTAAAGGCTGGATTCCTGTTATCCGGTCCGGGGCTTTAATTTAGCAAGGCACCGCACACCTCGTGCTAGGAACCGTGCGGGTGCAAGGATCCAAAGGTGGGCAAGTCAGGCATGATCTGCAGCGCGCTTGCTAACTGCGGAGAGCACCCAGTTGTCAGGGCTACGTGGAGCACTTTAGGAGCACGGAGAGGAGTCCCAACCCGGAACGATCAGGAACGATCAGGAAAGGATTTTAGGAGTGGCTATTCTAGAAGCTGGAACTCTGACCCTTGTTGGGGTGCCCATCAGGGGGCTGAAAGGCCAGTCCAGGATGGCCCGGAGCACGCCGGCGGCTCCTCCCCGGAGGGCCAGGGACCGCACCTGTCTGGTCCCCGAAGTACTCCCAATAGGTCCGCCACCAGTGCGGGGCCCGCGCCTCCTGCTCCGCCCGGCGTCGGTAGCGGTCGAAGCTCCGGTACTTCTCCAGCCGCTCCAGGTTGCTCACGTCGATGTCCGCGTTGGGCATCGGCCCCAGCGGGGGCGTCCGGCGGCTCAGGGCGGCTGCGGGCGGAGAGCGGGGCGTCACGGGGACTCCAGCCAGGCCAAGCCCCAAGTCGTCAAGAGCTCCCGGCCCCAGGACCCTTACCCGAGGTGCTGAAGCCTCGCCAGGCCCGCCTCCCGCACAGCGCGGCTCGCCACCAGGGCGCCGCCATCTTCCCGCAGGCCGACACGGCCCTTCGGAACCCGCCCAGCGCCCGCCCCTGAGGCCCCGCCCCGGCGCCCGACTCCTCCCCCTCCGGGGCCGCCTCCGGAAGTGTCCGGGACCGGCCTGCGGTGGAGCGGGAGCGGCCACCAGGGGGCGACGCAGCCTGGCCTTGAACCGCGAACCGGGCGCTCAGCCAGCCTCTGCAGCGCGTCTTGCGCTGTGGGGCGCTGGCGGGCGCGGGGACAGTGCGCGCATGGCTTCCGCAGAGCGCTCGGGCTGAAGTTCCCGATGGAAACCTTCGCGTCGCCCTTGTAGTTCCCTCACTTGTGCCAAGAAGCAGGTTATAATAGTGCTCACCTCATAGAGCTGCTAGGGGGAGGAAATGAATTAACATCTAACAGAATACGTGCCCTGGATCATCTCCAGCTTGCCATTATCCACGCAGCAGCATGAGGGACCTGTTCACCCACACACGTGATCAGGGCTCAGCATTGCTCTGGGATCCAGTTCTAACAAGGTAAAACTTGGTAGCCCAGGTGATATGGACCCTTGTCTGCCCCTGCCCCAGTCCCTCTGTCCTAGAACAACACAGGTTTCCAGCACAGCACACCTTCTGTTCTTCCACAGTTTGCTCTGCAGGCCACAAAGCTTTTCCACAGGCTATCACTTCTGTTTTTACCTCCTCACGTTTCCCTCTGTGGCCTGACTGCCTTGCAGCACCAGTAGAATGGTCCCTCTGGGAAGTCTACCCTGACATCTCAAATGAGGGCTGGTGGCAGGGTCAGTTGCTCTGACACCAGCAGAAGCTTGACCCTCACACTCAGACTGAAGTGGACGCCGGGGTCTCTCCATCCAGTAGGAAGTGGCCATACCTGTTTCTGAAAGACCCTCCGACTCCCTGTCCAAGGAAGAACGCACGAGACACTGGCTGCAAAAGCAAGAGGCAGTTTATTGGTACACAGGCACCTGCGGGTGCGCAGCAGAACCTCAGCCGGAGCTTCGGTGAACTGGCACACCGGGCTTTGGGGCACAGATCTTTTATGGGGTAAAGGAGCAGGTTTCGTGCGCGCGGCAAGGAACAGGTTTCTTATTGGTCATTTTGAACCTAGCATATAGGTCACCTAAAGAGCAAGGTCGTTTTTCACTGTATGTTCCTGGAAAACCCACGGTTTTACATTCCATTCTTTCTGTTCCTGCTTATCTGTTCCGGTTTTCCCAATCGTGTCCTGGGACACAATTACCCGGTTCTGTTCCTGCTTATCTGTTCCGGTTTGCCCGATCGTGTCCTGGGACACAATTACCCGGTTCTTTCCCAACCATCCTGTTCTTTTCTAATCGGTTACATTTAACTGGTTATATGAAAAACACATCTGGTGCCTGTTAACTGGTTATCTGAAAAACACATCTGGTGCCTGCGCAGGTTTGTAGCATGCCCTGATGATTTTGTACCTGGGCCTAAAGTTATTGGGCTGGGGTCTCTCATTCCCCCCTTTTTCTTGAACATGGATAGAATCTTATATCCATCTGTCTGCTTGTTCGGGGTCTTGAACCAGGCTCGTCTGCGACCCTGTTTGTTGCTTAAGCAACTGGTATTGTTGAGTTAGAACCATAGTCTGGATTATGGAAAGTCTTTCTTTCATGAACTGCACTAGTCTATTAAGTATACAAGGTCCAAATGTCAGGAGTAACAGCAAAATAACCAAAGGTCCTGCTATGGTAGATAGCAGAGTAGTTAACCATGGGGATTTACTAAACCAGTGTTCAAACCATCCTTGTTGAGACTCAAATTCTTTTTGTCTCTTGGCCAACCTTTCAGTGACCTTTTCCATAGTTTCTCTGACTACTCCAGTATGGTCAGCATAGAAACAGCACTGTTCTTGAAGGGCTACACAAAGACCACCTTCTCTGAGGAACAACAGATCTAATCCTCTCCTATTCTGCAGCACTACTTCCGAGAGGGAGGAGAGAGATTTTTCTAGGGCTGTGATAGACTTGGCCATTGCAGTTAAATCCTCGTTCATTGCTGCCTGTAGTTGCAATAATTGGTTACCTTGCACTAGCGCAACAGTTCCTGTTCCTATTCCGGCTGCTATTCCTCCAATTCCCAGTAGTAGAGCTATGGTCATGCTTATGGGCTCTCTAGGGTACCTCTTCCGTCCCTCAAGGTGTTCTAGGACATAGTCTGACCCTAGATATGATATCTTAGGCCATAATTGTATTAATACGCAAAAATCAGTGGTTGCATTGAGGACTGCCGTAGAAATACAAGGGGTCAGTCCGGTATTGCAGGCCCAGTAAGTTCCGTGGGGACCCCACAAATAGTTATTTTGTGAGCCTGTCACTGGGAGGGTAGTATTACAGAGATGTTGGTGTGATAGGGGTACGTTCCCCATACAGACCCCTTGTCCTGTTACTTCAGTGATGGTAAGTTTATAGCTTGGTAGGGAAACACACTTAGGGTCAGGGTTTGTGCTACTGTTCCAGTCAGACATAATTGCTATCCCTTCATAGTAAGGTGGGCCAGAGGTGAGACACAGCCAACAATCTTGGGTGCGATTTGGGCTGGTGGCGTTGAGGGCATAAAATGCTCCTTGAATCAAATTTAACAATCGGTCTCCAGTCCCAGGGTGAATGGGCTCAGGGGAATAACTAGAGGTTTGATAATCCATAGTTACAGTTTGAGGCATGGGTGGCTTACTGGAGGGAACCTTCGGCTGCTTGGTAGTGAGGGGATCTTTTGGTCTCCGAGTACGGAATTAGGTCCTATCGAGCTAATTATAGCTGGGGTTTGGGACAGTCTGATGGTGAAAATTACACCTGGATCGTACCCAGTCATATACCATCTGAGTCCCCATGTTCTACCAGTAAGCCAGGGATCGATAGTCTCCTTGCCTTTGTCCGTGAATTGTATCTTAAGGGGCAATTGGCAGGAGGAAGGGGGCCCGGTGTAATTTTTGGACACCTGTATCAGGTCCCAACTCGAGGTGGGGTTCCAGTATGCATCTCCGGTGGTTTCGCAGCCCCAGGAGGAGCAGTAGTATGCTTCAGTGCCCCCACATTTGAATACTCGGGATCTGTCTCGTCCGTCCCGGGGGCAGACATAAAAATCAGTTTGAGCTAGCTGGCACCCAGCAGAGCAGCCATCCTGGAGCTTGTGGTGGCCTTGTTGGTAGGGCTCTATCAGCTTACAAGAGTCAGGAAGGGTCAGGGTGGGCCACCAGGTGCCAGGGGTATGGGTTGCTGTAATTGACCAAATTATTTCCCCCGTTTGAGAGTATACCTGCCAAATCAACTTCATGGGAACATGGGGGTTATTACCTAAGACAAGGGGAGCAAAACAAAGAGCAAAGACAGTTAACAGCGCGTAAGTCTTATCTTTAGCGGGTTTTGAGTACGTTGTAACTTCCATCCCGAATCTTGATGGGTGTCGGCTGATTCTAACGGCTGAGCAGTCTTCACGTGGGAAGCGTGGATTCAAGCAGCAATGCCGTCCACCTTGATGGCGGTGGGGGTGGTCAGCAGGACAGTGTAGGGTCCTTTCCACCGAGGTTCGAGGTTCTTGCTCTGATGTCTGCGTACCCAGACGGTGTCCCCGATTTTGAAGGGATGTGGCACCGAAGGGGTTTTGAGTTCTTCTTTATATGCCGCTGCTAATGGCTTCCAGACCTCGTTCTGGACCAATTGTAGTGCGCGTAAATGAGTCTGCACAGATGGGGTGAGGGAGGCAGAAATTTCAGTTTCATAGAAATTAACAGCAGGTGGTGGGGCACCATATAGGATTTCAAATGGGGTTAGTCCCTGAGGGCTAGGAGTATTTCTGGCCCGATATAAAGCTGAGGGTAGGAGTTGTACCCAGTCTCTAGTGCCAGTTTCAAACGTTAATTTAGTTAAAGTCTCCTTGATTGTTCTATTCATTCTTTCTACTTGCCCTGAGCTTTGGGGTCTATATGCACAATGTAACTTCCAATTAATCCCCAGCGAATTGGCCACCGCCTGACTTACCTGGGAGACGAAGGCAGGCCCGTTATCCGACCCAATTGTTCCGGGTACCCCATACCTTGGGAAAATTTCTTCCAATAGCTTCTTAGCAACGGTTTTGGCAGTTTCATGCCGGGTGGGGAATGCCTCTACCCATCCGGAAAAAGTATCAACAAAGACTAGAAGATATTTATATCCATACATACCAGGTTTGACTTCAGTGAAGTCTATTTCCCAATGTGTCCCGGGTTTATGTCCTCGAACCCGGACTCCTGTTCCAAGTTTAACTTTACCAGCATTTACCTGGGCACATGCCTGACAATTTTCTGCAACCCGCTGGAGGAGTCGATCCCTATTTGGAAGATATAGAGTACCCTCTCCACGGTCTAAGAGTTCTTTCATCTTTTTAGCCCCAAGATGTGTCAGTTTGTGTAATGATTTTACTAATTCTTTAACATTTTTAAGGGGCATTATGGTTTTTCCCTGATATTCCCAGGTATGGTCCTCTGGGTTGTAAGAGGCGTCTAGCTTCTGTATGATATCCAGATCTTGGTCCTCATAGACCCATTTATCCTCATAGTCATCATGTTGTGGGTTAGCCCGTTGGGGCAACAAAGTCATTACCAAGAGTTGAGGCCCCTGGGCTGCTTTTCTGGCTGTCTCATCCGCCAATCTGTTTCCCCTGGCCTCCGGAGTATCTCCTCTTTGATGGCCAGGGCAAAGCATGATACTTAACTTTTTAGGCAGAAATAGAGCTTTAAGTAAGGCCAATATTTCAGTCTTATTTTTGATTTCTTTCCCATCTGAAGTTAGTAGCCCTCGCCGTCTGTAAATTTCCCCGTGTATATGAGCAGTGGCAAAGGCATATCTACTGTCCGTATACACATTTAGCTTCTTTCCCTCAGCCAACTTTAGGCTTGTGTCAGAGCTATTAGTTCTGCCCGCTGAGCTGAGGTTCCACCCGGCAATGCACTCGTCCAGATTACCTCAGATTCGGTGGTGATGGCTGCTCCTGCTCGCCGTTCCCCATTGAGCAAATAACTGCTCCCGTCGGTGTACCAGACCAGTTCTGCATCTTTCATAGGTTGGTCCGTGAGGTCTGGTCGGGTTCCTTGTGTTTCTGCAAGAATCTGCTGGCAGTTGTGGGGATTTGCTTTTCCAGGAAGCGGCAGGAGGGTTGCTGGGTTCAGTGTGACCATGGGGCCGAACTGAATCCGGTCCGTGTCCAGCAGCAAGGACTGGTAATGGGTGAGTCGGGCGTTGGACACCCAGCGGTCAGGTGGTTGGCGAATTATTGCCTCGATGGCATGAGGGGTTAACAAAGTTAATGGCTGTCCCAGAGTCAGCTTAGTGGCATCCTTAATTAGGATAGCCACTGCTGCTATCATTCGAAGACATGGTGGCCATCCTGACGCCACTGGATCCAATTTCTTGGACAGATAGGCTATAGGACGCCTCCAGGGTCCCAGTTTTGGGGTTAGGACTCCTTTAGCATAGCCCTGTTTTTCATCCACAAACAAGTCAAAAGGCTTGGTAACGTCTGGTAGGCCTAAGGCGGGGGCTGACAGAAGGGCCAATTTGATACGATCAAATGCCAATTGGTGCTCCTCAGTCCAGGTAAAGGGGTTGCTTTGTTTGGTTAGCAGGTATAAGGGGGCCGCTATCTCGGCAAACCCAGGAATCCAAAGTCTGCAGAAACCTGCTGTGCCCAGAAATTGCCGTAGTTGTTTAGGGTTCTGGGGAGTTGGTATGCTCGAGATAGTTTCTTTCCTGGCTGTGGTTAGCCATCGTTGGCCATTATGAAGTTCATAGCCAAGGTAAGTAACTTTTGTCTGACAGATTTGTGCCTTTTTAGCCGATGCCCTGTACCCCAACTGTCCCAAAGTTCGCAATAATGCCTCCGTACCTGTAAGGCAATCCTCCTCGGTAGTAGCAGCCAACAGGATGTCATCTACATATTGGAGCATAATTAAGGAGGGGTGTCTTACGCGGAAATCGGCCAGGTCCTGATGTAAGGCTTCATCGAAGAGCGTCGGGCTATTCTTGAACCCTTGTGGCAGTCTGGTCCAGGTCAATTGACCGGAGACCCCTTTGTCGGGATCTTTCCATTCAAATGCAAAGAGAGCCTGGCTTTGAGGGCACAGTCTCAAACAGAAAAAGGCATCTTTTACGTCTAGAACGGTGTACCAAGTATGGGTGGGAGGCAAGGTGCTGAGGAGATTGTAGGGGTTAGGCACCGTGGGGTGGATGTCCTCTACCCTTTTGTTTACCTCTCTTAAGTCCTGGACAGGCCTATAATCATTTGTCCCCGGCTTCTTAACTGGTAGCAATGGGGTGTTCCAGGGCAATCGGCAAGGGGTTAGAATGCCTTGGTCTAGGAGGCGTTTGATATGTGGCCTGATGCCTTGGTAAGCTTCTCTTGACATGGGATACTGTTATTCACGGGAGTAGCAGTGGTTTTTAGGTGAATGACTATTGGAGGTTGTTGTTTAGCCATTCCCATTCCACCGGTTTCAGCCCAGGCCTCCGGGTAGGATTCAAGCCAATAATTTATGTCCTTATCAGATACAGGAGGTTTATCAAAAAGTTTATATTCATCTTCTAATTTGAAAGTTAGTACATGTAAGGGGGCCTGATCTGGCCCCGTAACGGAGGCACTCCCATTTTTAAAATAGATTTGAGCTCTCAACTTGGTTAATAAGTCTCTTCCTAGTAGTGGATACGGACAATCAGGCACATGCAGAAACGAATGGGAAACTTTACCTGTAGCAAGGTGTACTTCCCTCTTGGTGGTCCATCGGTACGGCTTGCTTCCAGTGGCGCCTTGGACCCACGTCGTTTTGTGGCTCATGGGTCCTGGCGTTCGTGTTAACACCGAATGTTGGGCTCCAGTATCTACTAGGAAGGTTACAGGTTGCCCCCCTACTTGCAAAGTTACCCGGGGCTCAGGGGGGAGCTCCTGGCCCTGACTCCCCTAATCTTCATCCAGGGCTAGTAATTGAGGGGTCCGGTTAGTACCTCTTCGGGTATTGGGGGGTTTCTTTGGACAGTCCTTAACCCAATGTCCTTTCTCCTTGCAGTAGGCACATTGGTCTCGGTCTATACGGGGTCTGCCTCGTTCCCTTTCCCTACCTGTTCTATCTCCTCGTTGCCCTGCCTGAGTTACAGTGGCCAATATCTTACTTAATTCTTTATTACGCTTTCGATCTTTTTCTCTTTCTCTCTTATCTAACTCTTCTCTAAATTTAAGATCTCTTTCTTCCTGCATTTTTCTGATCCTTTCTTCCTTTTCCTCTGGGGTTTCTCTCTTATTAAAAATCTTTTCTGCTTCCTTCAATAAGTCCGTTAAAGTGAAATCTTGTAGGTTATCTAATCTTTGCAACTTGGTCCTAATGTCTGGAGCGGATTGCCAAATGAAAGCCATGGATACGTTTCCCTTCTGATCCTCACTATCGGGGTCGAAAGGAGTGTATCTCCGATAGGCTTCTTTTAGTCTCTCTAGGAATGCGGTCGGAGTTTCCTCTGAGCCCTGGGTGGTTTGTCTTACCTGAGCCAAATTGGTGGGCCGTCACCCTGCTCCATGGAGACCCGCTATGAGTAACTGGCGACAGAGACGTAGGTGGTTCCTACCTGCATCAGTATTATAATCCCAATCCGGTCGAATTAAGGGAAAAGCTTCATTGATCAAATTTGGGAGTTGGGTAGGGCGCCCATCATCTCCCGGCACATTTTTACGGGCCTCTAAGAGAACTTTTTGTCTCTCCTCTGAAGTGAGAAGAGTCTGCAAAAGCTGCTGACAGTCGTCCCATGTTGGTTGATGAGTCACTAGAATAGATTCAATCAGGGAAGTTAGGGCTACAGGGTCATTGGTAAAGGAGGGATTGTGGGTTTTCCAGTTATAAAGATCAGAGGCGGAGAAAGGCCAATACTGATATTGGCCGTTAGGACCTCCCGTCTGCCGCAAGGGGAAGGCCCTTGAAGTATCCCCTGGGGCGGCAGGTTCTCAGCGCCCACGAAGTCTTCCCACCATGGGGGATGGGCCCGGAGGGGCATTGGTAGTTGGACCCTCTTGTTCTTCTTCTCCTGAAGAAACCTGGATGGGATCTGGAACTGGTAAAGGTTGGGGATGGTAAGGTGGGGGTTCTTCAGTCATTAGGTCTATAAGAGTTGAATCCTCTGGTGGTAAGACCTTCTTGGGTTTTGTCCCTGCTAGGGTCACGTTTTCGGGTTTATCTAGAACAGGGTAAAGCCTAGAGGTTTGAGGAGGGGGTGCGGGTATCAGGATAAGTGGAGCAGAAGGTGGGGGTGGGGCTTCAAGGGGAGAATGGGGAGGAAGCTTAGGTGGAGAGAAAGGGGCGACCCAAGGAGGCGGGTCGGAGGCCAGATCTTCCCAGGTAACAATGTAGGGCACTTGATCGGGGTGTCCTTGAGGACCTTGGGTGAAAACCCGAGACTTCATCTGTGAAATAAGATCAAGGTTAAATGTCCCTTCTTTTGGCCAGCCAACATCGAATGTTGGCCACTCCGTGGTGCAGAGTGTTATCCATCTTTTCTTTTTGATTTCTACTGACCGGTTGTTAGCCCGGTTCCGGACGTCCTGCCAGTGATCAAGAGTAAGACTCAAGGGAGTTGTTATAGATTGTCCCATGTTAGCCTTAGATGGTATGAGAAAGTACAGAGACAAGGAGACAGATACAAAAATCAGGCTGGACACAAAGAACGCTGCACGGCCTCGGCACAAACTGAAAGTATCTGATGGATTAGGGGGAGGAGGGACTCCGTCACCCACAAGAACAGTGTACTCTTCGGAAACACTAGAGGCCCCCAAAAAATGGGCCTCCTGAATCCCTGGGACGTCTCCCAGGGTGGCAGGGGAGAAGTCCGAGTTCGTCAACTCCTTCTCAAGCTGCCCAGAAAACAGAGTGACTATGCGTAATCGTACAGACGCCGCGCACAGACAGATAACGACTGAAGACTGCAAACATAGAACAAAAAAGAGACACAAAATGACACGAGCTGGCCAGCTTACCTCCCAGTGGTTGCCGGGTGTTCCTTGGGCAGGGATCCGGACGGGGGCGCAGGGGGATCTCGGTGGAACCTCCAAATGAAAGACCCTCCGACTCCCTGTCCAAGGAAGAACGCACGAGACACTGGCTGCAAAAGCAAGAGGCAGTTTATTGGTACACAGGCGCCTGCGGGTGCGCAGCAGAACCTCAGCCGGAGCTTCGGTGAACTGGCACACCGGGCTTTGGGGCACAGATCTTTTATGGGGTAAAGGAGCAGGTTTCGTGCGCACAGCAAGCAACAGGTTTCTTATTGGTCATTTTGAACCTAGCATATAGGTCACCTAAAGAGCAAGGTCGTTTTTCACTGTATGTTCCTGGAAAACCCACGGTTTTACATTCCATTCTTTCTGTTCCTGCTTATCTGTTCCGGTTTTCCCGATCGTGTCCTGGGACACAATTACCCGGTTCTTTCCCAACCATCCTGTTCTTTCCTAATCGGTTACATTTAACTGGTTATATGAAAAACACATCTGGTGCCTGTTAACTGGTTATCTGAAAAACACATCTGGTGCCTGCGCAGGTTTGTAGCATGCCCTGATGATTTTGTAACTGGGCCTAAAGTTATTGGGCTGGGGTCTCTCATTTCCATACATAGCAAACAGCTAAACCTGTCACCATCACTTCTACTTCATAACAGCCTGTACCTGCTGTCTGCTAAGCTGTGAGGGCGATTCATAGGCCAGTAACACCCAGACCTGCTGTTAAGGAGTGGCTGCTGTGAAATTCCCACTAATACACAGTGGAACCAAACAGTGTTGGCCCAACTGGATTGTGCATGGTCATTGTGGCCTCCTTGGCTGTTTTACCTTTTCCTTTTGTTTCTGAATCCTCTTCTATGTGCCTGTAAAGCCACCCGGGTCCTATGCAGGGTCTCCAGCAGCACTGAGGCTTGCTGCTCAACCAGGTGGCTTGTACTTCCTTTCTTATTCTCTTCCAGCATGGAAGGCCCTAAAGAATGGGACTTACTTAGAATCCAATTATTTGAGGGGACTAGCATGGATTATCACATGACAATTTGAAGCATATAATACATGTGAACAACTCTTGAAACTCGAAGCAATGGGTCCACCAATATTTCTCTAACAGGAATTAAGCATTTGGATTATGACCTTGAAGGAAATGTTACAATATTTTCCTCTGGTGCTGGGGATTGAACCCAGGGGCATTCTACTACTGAGCTACACCCCAGCCATTTTTAAAAATTATGAGACAGGGTCTTGCTAAATTGCCCAGGCTGGCTTCAAACTTGTGACCTTCTGCCTTAGCCTCCCAAGTAGCTGAGATTACAGGTATGTACCACTGTACCCAAAAGGAATTGCTATAGTTGTTAATAGGGTAAGACTGATCAATAGATACTGAATACTCACTCCTGTATGCAGCCCTCTACAATGTCTGTGGCCTGGGAGAAAGAAATGTATTAGTTAGGCTACTTACATAGCAAACAGCTAAATGGTGTTTACAGCAACACTGAGCAGTTCCCAGCACCAAGGAAAGTGTTAGTCAAGTGCCTGTGGGATGTCTCTATTTGGCCATCACAAGAGCACTCTCTCATCATGAGTGACACTACGGTCACCCAAGTCAGGGATCTCAGGTTCTCCTTGACACGTGACCCATACCCAGGCACTATATTCCAGAGGGGCACTTCTGTGACTCCTCATGGACATACAGGGTGATCTTGCCCTCTTTTCCCTCCCCCACATCCTTGCAGTATTCTAACACTTTCTCTGTCCCCACTTTGCCCTAGTGTCCACCCCACAGCCACAATGGGTTCTCTAAAATGCAAATAAAGCTCTTCAGTGAATACTCATTTCCCTGAAGATAAAAGTTCAAATACTTTAACAAGATATATAAAGCTGCTGGGTGTGGTGGCACATGCCTATAATACCAGCAACTCCAGAGGCTGAAGCAGGGGAATTGTAAATTTAAGACAAGCAATCAAGCAAGGCCCTAAGCAACTTAGAGACCCTGTCTCAAAAAAAAAAAAAAAAAAAGGGGGGAGTGGCTTAGTGGTTAAGTGACTCTGGATTCAACCATATTACCAAAACAAGATAAAAAGCCATTACCTCTACCTGCTCCCTAACTCTTGTTACTGTGTCCTGAAGGCCAGGGTCCTGGGTTGCCCTGCACCACACACCCTGTGTGCTACAATGTCTGTGGTCTGGGAGAAATCTTCCAGTTGACTACAGAGCACCAGCTGCCAGGTGCACTCCTGTACTCCTATCTGCTCAGGAGGCTGAGACAGGAGAATTTCGAGTTCAAAGCCAGCCTCAGCAACGGCAAGGCAGGTGCTAAGCAACTCAGTGAGACCCTGTCTCTAAATAAAATACAAAATAGGGCTAGGGATGTGGCTCAGTGGTCAAGTGCCCCTGAATTCAATCCCCAGTACCAAAAAAACAAAACAAACCAAAACAGAAGCAACAGCTGTCCCCATAACTGCCCATGGATATACCCAACCTTGACTCCTGTCTCTTTGCCACATCTGGCTCAGACCTGGTTAGGAGTGTTGTGAGAACTGAATCCTAGGCTTTTACAAGCGATTGGCGGGCACATGATGCTTCCCTCCTCAGGCGGACACCAACTCGATAAGTGGAGGTAAATAAACATCTTGTCCTTACAGTGCACTGTGTGGTATGCTTCTCTAGGGGGTGGCAGGAAGGATGTGGCTGAGAGTCTGGGGTTTGGGAATCTGCCTGAGCAGAACTCAAATCCAGGCTCTATTACTATTTGCTGTTACTTTGGACAAGGTATGTTGTCTCCCTGAGTCTCAGGTTCTTCATCTTTTTTCTTTTTCTTTTGAAACAGTGTTTTGCTAAGTTTCTGAGGCTGAACTGATCTTGTGATCCTCCACCTCAATTTCCCAAGTTGCTGGAATTATATGTGTGTGCCATTGCACCCAGGTAGTTTCATTTTTAAAAAAAAATATATATATTTTTTGTTGATGGACCTTTATTTTATTTGTTTATATATGGTAGAATCGAACCCAGTGCCTCACACATGCTAGGCAGGCTCTCTATTACTGAGCTACAACCTCAGTTCCAGTTTCCTCATTTTGAAGCAGGGATGGTAATACTACCCACTTGAGCTCTCTGTCCTGACAGACTGCACCTGGAGGGGAAGGACTTGGCCAGAGGAGCATGACAAATTGGCTTTTTATAGGAATGTTTGACTGCTCTGTGAGGCTTGTTTTCCAACAAAGACAAGGGATACAGAACAAAAATGTTCTAAAAAGTAAGTACAAATCCTGACGGGCCTCAGCAAATTCTAAGAATTTAATCATTAAGGGGCTGGGGATGTGGCTTAAGCGGTAGCGCGCTCGCCTGGCATGCGTGCGGCCCGGGTTCGACCCTCAGCACCACGTACAAAGAAAGATGTTGTGTCTGCCGATAATTAAAAAATAAACATTAAAAAAAAAAAAGAATTTAATCATTAAGAATATGACAGTTTATAGGCTGGGGTGAAGCTCGGTGATAGAGCACCTGCCTAGCATTTAAGAGGCCCTGGGTTTATCTCAGCCCTCCCCCCAAATTAAAAATGAAAAATACAATTACTTGGGAGGCTGAAGCAGGAGGATTACAAATTCAAGTTCAGCTTTGGTAACTTAGTAAGACTCTGTCTCAAAATAAAATAAATAAAAGGGCTGGGGATATAGCTCAGTGGCAGAGCACCCCTGAATTTAATCCCCAGTACCATAAGTAAGTGAGTAAGTAAGCAGAGCATAGTTTAATGTGTTCAAGACCAAAGCTACAAACTGTTGGCAAATAAATTAGGTCCCTCTGAAAGCTGTTCCAAAGAGCAGAGAGCTACAGATGGTGCCACTTCTCCCTCGTGTTCTCCTCCTCTGCCCTCCTGCTTACTGGGATGGCTTCCTCTGGGATGCAAGGTGAGGAATCGCTCCTGCACAGAAGCAGTTTTAGCAGCAACTGCAATTTTATTAGTCGAGTTGATTTGTCCTGGGTCTGCTGGGTACAATGAGTACCCCTCCAGCCCCATCCTGGCATCCCTCCAGCTGACCTTGGCACACGGCCTGTACGTACGTGGAGGCCAGCAAAGGCGCAGGTGGCAGTAGCAGTGCATGGGGACCCATAGGTCACCTTTCTCCCCTCCAGGGACAGAGGCTCTGGCTGTCTTCCTTCCCTGTCCATTTCCACACCCCCAACATCACCCACAGTTCCCTACTCCTGCTTCTGGTGAGGGCCTAATTGAGGAGGAAGAAGCTGGAGGCCAAAGTTCATGTTGAGCTGGTCAGCCACTTGGGCAGAGCTGAGAATGAGTGGGGGTGGAGTGGCTGGCTGAATCCCAGGAGCTCATGGAACCGTGAGAAGAATCTGGCATGGTGCCCTCCCTGCCCGCACCAGACCTCCCACTCACTTGCCCAGGAGGCCTTTGTCCATGTCCCCATTAGGGAGGGGACCTCTCAGGCAAAGAAGGTAGAAGGCTGTTCATGGTACCCCCCCCCCCCCCCAAGAAAACCCCTGCCTCTGAAAAGGCCCAGGCACATAGACCCGAACCGGCTGCCTATGGTTGAAGCTGGTGGAGTTTGCTGCCTCCTCAGACCGTCAGACTGGAGCCAGAAGTCTGTGATGAGACACCCTCAGCTCCTGGGGGCTGTTGCACGTCAGAGCGCCAAAGGTGCAGGGCCTGGCAAGAGCATACAGGCAGGCTGTCCGGATGGAGGGCTCTGGTAGGGCCCGGCAGCATGGCAAGGGAGAGTCCAGGGTCCAGGTGCTCGCCGAGGGGCAGCTGTCCATGTTAAGTGGAATGGGACGTCATGTTGTAGGACGCATTCTTCAGGGCGTTCAAGAAGAACTGCTCATTCTCCAAGAAGTCCCGGTCCTGCCAGGCAGATTCGGAAAAGAGCTCACACTTCCATGCACTGAGAGGGGGGCCAAACAGCCCTCACTTGGGGGCTCCCTCTCCCAGTTATCGGTCAGCTCTGGGAGGCAGGGTGGGGGCATGAAAGAGCCCAGGCGTAGAGTGAGGCAGACTTTGGTCTCAGTCCTGGAAGGCCACTTGTTAGCAGTGGAACTGATTTCCAGCACATGACCTCTTGTCTCTGAGCCTCACTTTCCTGTTCTAATCTGGAGATAAGAATCTCTCCCATGTAGAGCTGAGTGTGGGTGAAGTTGCTGATCTACATAAAGCCTGAGTGTTAAGCCCAGCACACAGGACATGCTCCCTGAGTGGCCACTGCATTCACAGGCTGTCGGGAGGTTTAACTGAGATGACATTTGCCAGCTGTTGCGTACAGAACCTGGCCTAGAGCAGAAGCCTCCAAGTTGCATGCCGAGTAGTCTGCCTTCTGAGTCTCCTCCAGGAGCTGGGGTCAGCGCTCCCCAGAGCTGTGACATGCTCCCTGATGCCTCTGCCCCGAGCTGGAGGGACTCTGCATGTCACCACAGTGAACAAGAGGACCCAGGCCCAGTGGACACTCACCTGCTCGGCTGTGTGCTTCAGCAGCACCAACTTGGCAAGGAGCTTCGCGGGGCCCGGGCTGGCCAGCAGCTGGCTGCCCTGAAGGGTGGTGGGAGCGGGAGTCACGAGAGCTGAGAAGGCTGAGGAGGAAGTCAGGGCCAAAGTGTTGGAAGGAAAACAGGACCACACGGCTGTACCGCAAGGCTTGCTCACGTGCTGCCCACTAGTGGGACTGGACTGATGTTCACATGGCTCCAACTCTCAAAAGCCTCTGAAAAACACTCATGTGCTCCTGTCTGACAAATCTGCTTCTAAGAATTTATTCAAGGGAATCAGTCAGACAAAGGAGCTAAGATGTACAGAGAGGTTTCCAGGGAGGCACTGCTCATCCTAGTGACAAAAACCTTCAGTGTGGAACAGCCTCAGAGTGGAAAGTGACACTGATCAAGAATGTTAAATCACCGACAGGAAGACACATTCCAGACGTGTATTGCTGAGTGTAAAAGCCAGCTTATAAAACATATTCCCAATTTTGTTTGAAAACATCCATCAGTCTGGAACGTCAGGCACCAAAATGTTCAAGTGGTTCCCCTGGACTGGAGACTTAGATTGAGTGTGATATTGTAAAAAGTTTCCCCCTCTATTTCTGACTTATTTCTCTAAAGTTAACATGCATTAATTGTTTAAAAAAATAAATAACAAGATGACTTTAAGACTCAGGCAGCACGCTGGCACACATTTGTAATCCTAGCATCTTGGGAGACTGAGGCAGGAGGATTGCAAGTTCGAGGCCAGCCTCAGCAACTTAGTAAAACTCTGTCTCAAATCAAAACAAACAAAACCCCAGAAAAAAACTAGTACTAGGCACAGTGGTGTACACCCATAATCCCAGTGATTTGAGAGGCTGAAGCAGGAGGATTCGAAGTTTGAGGTCAGCCTCAGCAAGTCAGCAAGACCCTCAGCATGGTGGTGCATGCCTGTAATCCCAGTAACTCTGGAGGCTGAGGTAGGAGGATTACAGGTTTGAGGCCAGCCTCAGCAACTTAGTTAGACCTTCTTATTTTTTTTTAATATGTATTTTTCAGTTATAGCTGGACACAATACCTTTATTTATGTATTTTTATGTGCTGCTGAGGATCAAACCCAGGGCTTCGCACATGCTACGTGAGCATTCTACCGCTGAGCCATAACCCCAGCCCACAAGACCTTATTTTTTTTTTTTTTTTTTTTTTTTTTTTTTTTTTTTAGAGAGAGAGAGAGAGAGAGAGGGAGAGAGAGAGAGAGAGAATTTTTTTTTTTTTAATATTTATTTTTTTTAGTTCTCGGCGGACACAACATCTTTGTTTGTATGTGGTGCTGAGGATCGAACCCGGGCTGCACGCATGCCAGGCAAGCGCGCTACCGCTTGAGCCACATCCCCAGCCCCACAAGACCTTATCTTAAAATAAAAAATAAAAAGGGCTGGAAATGTGGCTCAGTGGTTAAGCAACCCTGGGTTCAATCCCCAGTACAAAAAAAAAAAAAAAAAAAAAACAACCCATTGCTCCCTCACTTGAGCAGCTGGAGGTTAGCCAGCTTCTCCTCTGCCCCTGCTCTGGGCTGGCGGAGCCCCATCCCTTCCTTGTGGAGCCACTTACCACCCAGGTTGGAGGCTGCTGGGCCCTGGCCTGTTGAGAACAGCCCTGGGAGGCTGGAGGGCAGGTCTTGTCGAGCACGGTCCAGCTGTAGCCTCTGCTGTGCCAAGCTCAGGTGTTCCTGCCCCAGCCCGAGACAGGAGAACTCAGTGGGGCGAGCAGGCGGCTGGGCATGCAGACAGGAGGAGGGGAAAGGGGGAGCCTTGCCTGATGTACATGCTGCTCCTGCTGCTGCAGCCGCTCCTGCTGCTGCCTAACAGCCTGCAGCCGGGCCTGTTGCTCAGACTGCAACTGCCGGGCCTCCTGCAGCGCTTGCTCACCCTCCTGGTACTTCTTAGAGGCCACCTGCAAGGAGGTTTCAGGGTCAAGGCCAGGGTCAGAAGATGTCCCAAACCCACACACCTTCCAGCCTCACCTGGCTCATGTGCTCCACCTCCTCAGCACGGCGCTGGAGACGCAGGCTGGCGGCTCTGACCCTCTCCTTCTCCTGCTGTAGCTCCTGCCGCTCCCGCTCCACAGCCTCCCTCTCAGTTGCCAGCTGCTCCTCCTTGGCCCGGAGCTCGCTGGCCCTGACCCTTAGCTCTCCCTGTTCCTGGAGAAGGCAGAATCTTCTCTGCATCCACCTCTTAGGAGCTATAGCAAGCTGTGCAGCACCCGAGGGTCCCCTCTGCCTACCCTGCTTCTGGAGCTTCCAGGATGGACCAGAGAGGCATGAGACCAAGCTGGGGTGCTCCCCAACAAGCTGTATAACTGCAGCAGGTTCACCTCTGAACCTTAGTTTCCTCATTTCTAGACTACTGAAGTCATAGGAGCTAATGAGAATCAAACCCAAGTCCTTCTGCCTGCTAGGCAAGCACCACTACACATCCTCAGCCCTTTTTATTTATTTTTATTTATTATTTTTTGGTACTGGGGATTGAAAAGAGGTACTTTGTCACTGTATCACTGAGCCACATAGCCAGCTCCTTTTGTTTGCTTCTTGTTTGTTTTTTGGGGGTAGTATCAGGGATTGAACTTATGGACACTGGGCCACTGAGCCATATCCCCAGCCCTATTTTGTATTTTATTTAGTGACAGGGTCTCACCAAGTTTCTTGGTACCTCACTTTAGCTGAGGCTAGCTCTGAATTCCGGATCCTCCTGTCTCAGCCTCCTGAGTTACTGGGATTACAGGTGTGCACCAGCCCACCCTGCTCCTTTTTGTTTTTTAAGACATGGTCTAAGTTGGTTAGAACCTCACTAACTTGCTGAGGCTGCCCCTGAATTTGTGATCTTCCTGCCTTAGCATCCAGAATCATGGGTATTACAGGCATGCACACCATGTGTGGCCTTAGCCCTTTTTATTTTGAGAGGGTCTCAGGAAGTTGCCCAGGCTGGCCTTGAACTTGAAATCCTTCCACCTCAGCCTCCTGAGTAGCTGGGATCACAGTCCTACACGACCATGCCAGGTTCTAATGAGAATTAAATGAGGAAAAAAGTGTATAAAATGCCTCTGGGGACGCAAGGGAGTTACTGTGGTGACAATACTTGTTTAACCACTGCACTCTAAGTATGTCATCACTGTGCTCTTATTTCGTAAGCCCGAAGCTGACGCACCTAGGAGGAAGGCCACGGCTGCTCTGGAGGCTGCCTCACTCACGCCTGTGGCACTGGGACAGATGCTCTTGCCCAGAGGGCCGACCTCCCAGGGGTCTGTTAGGAGGAGGCTCACCTTCTCCAGCCACCCTACCTTGGCCAGGCTGATGAGGGTGCCCTCCCGGCGGGTGTCCACCTGCAGTGCTCGCTCGGCCTCGCGCTCAGCCCGCTCCTTACTCAGCTTCTGCTGCGTGAAGAACTCAGCCCACTCGGCTGCCAGGCGCCGCCTCTCCTCCCCACACTTCTGCATGACCGACTTCTGCTCCTCCAGCAAGGCGCTCTAGATTTGGGGGTGGGGGCGTGGTGAGCGTCTTGTCTGGGTGTAATGGTGGGTCAGCAGCTGAGCCTGGTGCTGGACTCACCTTGGCCCTCTCCAGCTCTTCCCTCTCTATGGCGATCTGCTGGGCCAAGACCTTCCTCTGCTCCTCCAGAGCACGCTGCGTGGACTCTGCCTTGGACTGCTCGGCATTCACACGCCAGCGTTCCTGTTATGATCCAGCACAAAGATAGAAAATGTCGGTCCTTTTTAAAGAACAGAGCTTGCTCTTGTATTTGAACGTACATTAGGTGTGCAAATGAATCTGTCACAGCTAAAGAGGTTAAATGACATTTAGTGACATTGAGTGGGCAAGAGCATCTGTCCCAGTGCCACAGGCGTCATGTGACATGACAGATCTGGGTGACAGGAGGAAAGAAGCACAGTTGGTGGGGGAAGACGTGGAGAGGCCCCAGGGCCAGTGGCCAAGGAATTAAGTGATAGGTGGCCCAGCCAGGGAGATCGTGTGTGCTCAGGTGGGCAGTGCTCAGGGTAGGGCAGAGCTGGAAGACACAGGCAGGAAGGGCAGGAGGGACACTGAGAGGAGCTCTGGGCCTGGGCGATTGCAGGACTCAGGAAGCAGATCAGAGGGCCGACCTCCCAGGGCTCTGGTAGGAGGAGGCTCACCTTCTCCAGCAGCCGGCTCTGCTCACTTAGCCGGGCCTCCATCTTCCCGATGACCTCTTGCAGCCGAGCACGCTCCTCCTCCATGTCCTGCTGCTGCCGGCCCAGCCGCTCCTGCAGTGCTGGGTGGCCCACAGGGCGCTCACTACCTGCCCTCCTTCCTCCTGAGGGGAGCCTGGGCTACTGAGGTGGGGGTAGGGTACCTCGCAGCTGCTCGTCCTGATGCCGGATTCCCAGCTCCCGCTCCTGCGAGGTGGTGAGGTGTGAGGCCTCCACGCGGGAGGACAGCTCATTCAGGCTGCTGGAGAACTTTTCCATCTGCTCGATGATGCCATTCAGGGACCTGGAGGGTGATCCATCAGGGAACCTCAGCCTGTGGAGGCCCAGGCCCGGCCCCTTGGGTGGGCAGTGCTGGGTGGGACACACACCGTGTGTGGGAGGTGGCACTGGTAACTGCATCGATCTCTCGGTCCTTCAGCAACTTCAGTCGCTGCAGCTGCTCCTCATGGTCCTTGCGCATTTCCAGGATAGATGCCCTGAGGAGAGGGTGGCAGAGGCGGTTGGCCCAGGGCCACTCTAGCAGAACCACACAGACGGGATGTGGGGAGAACACCCTGGCAGCTCTTCATGGAAGCAGCCGCCTCTGCGCAGTCCCTCTGCCTCCTCCTCCCCCAGACACTCAGTCTCCATGACTTTCCTTTTTCCTTTTCATACCAGGGACTGAACCTAGGCATTTTTAACCTAGGTTCAGATGAGCCACATCCCCAAGCCCCTTTTAATTTAACTTATATTTTATTTAGAGACAGGGCCTTGCTAAGTTACCAAGGCTGGCTTTGAACTTACAATTCTCCTGCCTCAGCCTCCTGAGCCACTGCACCCAGCTTCCTGACTCTTCTATCTCATCTGTCCTGGTGCCTCAAGGCCATGTGCACCAAAAGATTCCTCCTATTATTAAGCAAAGTCCACTTTTCACAGAGTAAAAGCTGTGTGCCTAACCCCTGTGTCTGGTCCATAGGGCCAGTCTTTTTTTTTTTTTTTTTTTTTTTTAATTTTTTAATATTTATTTTGTAGTTTTCAGTGGATACATCTTTGTTTGTATGTGGTGCTGAGGATCGAACCCGGGCCGCACGCATGCCAGGCGAGCGCGCTACCGCTTGAGCCACATCCCCAGCCCCAAGGGCCAGTCTTAACAAGCCTGCTCAGGCACCTTTTCTTGGTTCATTCTCATCCAGAAAGGCAACCAGATGAACACACCAGCAATGATAAGCACAGCTTTCCCACGGTGGAGCTAGTCACTAGTCTCCATGGGAGAGGTGAGTGGAGTAACCTAGCTTGGCTGGGTCCTCTGGTGCTTGCTGCTGCTCTGCCCTGCCTCCTGGAAGGCTACACTCCTTTGGCTTTTGCCCCTCCTTGCCTCAGCAGAAGAAGTGGCACCCCACTCAGGTGGGCCAATAGGCTGGTGTGCTTAGCATTGGTCTTCACCTCAGTGGGCCAAAGGGAAGGACTCAAACCCCATGCAAAGGCTGCAGAGCCACAGCCTGGGGTCTCTCGATTATTGCTCTTCTCTGCCCTTGTGTCTTGCCCTCACCGCTGTAGCTCCCGAAGCCGCTCCATCTCCTGGTCTTTTTCTTGTGCCGCTGCTGCCAAGCGCCGCTGGTGCTGGGCTGTGAGCTCGGCTCGGGCCTGCTCAGCCTCGTGGCAATGAGAGAGATACTGAGCTGACAGCTCCTCATTCTCTCTGCGGAGCCGCTCTTCCCGTTGCTGGTATGATGTCTCTAGCATCTTAATGCGGCTTCTGCCAAGAGAATACCCACCAAAGGGCCTTTCTGAGCATATCAGCATGGTCTTGGGGTTCAGTGAAGAGATGCAAGTAGCGCTGGGGCAGGACATCAGCCTGGGAAGACCGAGGCAGACCACAGGAAGGAGCTGCTAGGTACCTGTGTGCATTCTCAATGAGCTCCAGGTCTGCCTGGTGCCGCTGCTGTAAACTTTCCAGCAGCAGCTGGTGCTGGGTCCGCTCTAGTTCCAGCTTCCGAACCTAGGAGACAGTGGTAAGCCAGCATACTGCCAGGCGTCTATGCCCCATACCACTTTGTGCCTGCAGTCCTCTTCCCCTCTGGCAAAGCCTCTAGCCCATTAGCCCTGGACTCCCCCCACAGATGCCCAATGTCCCTTACCTGAACCTCCAGCTCTGCCAGCCGTGCGTGGCTCTGCAGCAGCTCTGCTTGGAGCTGGGCAGTGCCACTCTGAAGCTGCGCCTGGGCTGCCAGGAGCTGCTTCTGGTATCCCACATCTGGCAGCAGGCTCTGCTCCAGGGACTCTGGGAACAGGGACTGCAGGGGAGGATGAGAGCTGTCCCACGTCAGGAGCTGAGCTTGGCTACCTCCCGGCCCTCTGCTCACTGGACTTCCTGGCTTTCCCCTCATGGGTGGCTGCAGACAGGGACAAGACCAGGACAAGGTCTTGGAGAGCCCCAGGCCCTGCCACTGAGCTTTCAGCAGCATCTCCCCATCCAGCTCTGGTCAGGCAAGTAAGTGTCCCTCTGTCCCCCCAAATGACATTCTCCCCTTGGCGTCTCTAGCTTCTGAGACAAGAATCAGTCTTAGCTATGACAGTGGCCCTCTCTGTTGGGCCAGAAACCCAGGTGGCCCACCTATGACACTGGCCCTTACTGTTGGACCAGCCACTAATCTGCTTTCTATAAACCGCCCCTCACCCACTGTCTTCCAGGAGCACTATCCTGGGTGCCACACCTCCCAGGCCCAGGTGTCAGAGGTGACTGCCACACCTGGGGAACAGAGCTGGAGGTGTGGTGGGAGGATGGCAGGGATAGAGGAGGCTTTCTAGATGGATGCGGCCCTGCTTTCTGAATGCAGCATTCCTGGCTGTCCCAGCCTGGCTGCCACCTGAAATTCCCTATCGATGCTGGCAGATTCACCCCCAACACCACCTGGGCGTCCTGAGGCTAAAAGTTCAAGAGAGCACTGGTGAGGTGTGCCAGAGTGTTCTGGCTGGTACCACGCTGGGCATATCTGACACTGCTTTCCCAGAAGGTTGTCACAGCCAACTCCTGGAGTTGCCTTTGAACGTGGATGAACTCCCCAGGCCTAAGACCTGTACCTGTTTGTCCATGCTCCCTACCTTGACAGGTGCAGAGAGCCCTGTGGGTTCCTGAGATTTGGGGAAACAAACCGCAGGCTCTGAAAAATAAACCACAGAGAAATTATCAGGAGGCCCAGAGGAGCCCAGGGGTTTCTGCCTTGCTCTGTTCTGAGAGTCCCTTGTTACTTGGCTTCCAGGGGCCTCAAAGGAGGCTCCTCTTCCTCACCCAGGACTAAAGCCCAAGTAAAGCAGAAACAAACCGGTGCCATAGGGGTCTCCAGAGGCTGTTCTTCTCTTTGGGTCACCTGCAGGGAGGGCCAAGGGAGAGTGGCTCCAACTCTCGGGGGACCTGCAGACACAGGGACAAGGCAAGGTAAATAGAACTCTGTGCAGGAAACAGGGAGAGAAGGGAAAGGGTGGCAGCAGGAGTCAAGGCGAACTTCAGGTAAGTAACTTTTTATTAGGAGAGCAGGACCTGGCTGTGCTGGTGGCAGGTAAAGGAGATGAGGACACAGCCTGCAGCAGATCTGCCATGGGTGGGCCTGACAGAGACACTGAACACTACAGCCAGTGGCCACCTGGAGTCCCAGCACGGCCACCTGCCGTCTGTCTATGGGGAAGGAGGCCTGGGCAGGCCCTACTGCCTCACTCCTTCCCAGCCCTGGCTGTGGACATACCCTGTGAGGAGGGGCCTGGCAGCTGGTATTTCTTGTTCTGTTGCTCCTGAGGTCCTTCCCACAGCTGCCTGATCAAGCCCCTGAGTGCTGGTGACAGGTTGGCTGAGGACAGCGCATGTTAAAGGTGAAGGTGACAGAAGGCCCAGGTTAGACTGGATGACCATGGCCGTGGATGAGCTCCCAGTGTGACACTTGTGGCACCCCTCTCCTCTTCCTGCTTCTCCTTGGCCTTCTGTTCCCACCCTCATCTTGGGGATTCTCCCAAGACTGAGCTCCGGGAATGTGTGGGCTGCCCTTCCCTTCCAGAACCACCTCCCCACCTTGGTGGCCATTAAGGCAGTGACTGTCCATGGACTGACAATGGCACGTCACACACACCACAGTTAAGTTCAAGTTCAAGCCTGTCTCAGTCCACTAGCTCCATTCAGCCTTAAACCACAGCTCTGCCCAGTCACCCCTAGGACAGCTGCCGTCAGCTACTTTCATGTTATTTGCACCCCTCCCTGGGCTTGCAGGGCAGCAAGGGTCTTTCCTGTTTGGGTCACAGCTCTGCCCTTGGCTTCAGGTCAAAGTCAAAGTTGTTGCCATCATCACATTCAGCCCAGGGTGTGGTGATGTCCCTGTGCTCTCACACGGCTCTCCAGAGCATCTCCCTGCTTCTTCTGGACTCAGCCCTGCCAGGCCCTTTCACCTTCCTGCCCTCAGAGGTCACTCATACCCTGCCCCACCAGCTGGCTACTCTGTGGCTCCCTAGGATCTGTGTCTTGGCCACCACGTCTTCTCAGACATGCCCCAGAGCCGCGACCATCTCTACCCACATGCACTTCAGTCACTTCAGCTGGGCTGACAGAAACACTGACAGTCACACACTGGGCTTCCCTTCCCAGCCGAGAATGCTGTGGACAGGGCCCTTGCTCAGGAGCAGAGGACGGCAGAACCTGCCACCTCAGGGCAGGTCTTCTCCTGCCTGATCCAGTAAGTCCCTGCTGCCAAGGCAGGGCGTGCCTGTCCACAGCCCTGAGCCCTCTAGCATCCATGCCTGGGTAGATGAGCAGCCCTCTCTGCTGTGCCCAACAGGAAGAGAAGCAGAGCTGAGAGTGGCCCATGGCATACTGCTGACATCTCCCACAGAGAATGTGGCAGGCGAGATGGGAAAGCTGGCCCTGGAGACCCTGCCTGGGCCTTCTCACAGATACAGCAGCCCAGGCCCATACCTGGCTGTCCCCACTGAGTTCGGACCCTTATAAGCCTCAGCATGCTCCTCTCTGGCCACACCCTGGGACTTCTTCCGAGACAAGACATGGCTCAGCCAATCCTCCTCCTCTCCCGCCTCAGACTCTCGCAGCTTGGAGGACTGGCTGGCTTGGGCAGATGGCCCTGTATTCTCTGCTGGTGGCTTTGACCCTGAGGAGGGCAGCCCAAATGGGGCAGAGTTTGGGTCTAGGGCTGAGTGCTGGCTCACAGGACCAGGTACAGAAGGTGTGGAGATTGCCAAGCCTCCCCGACAGGACTCTCGGGTGGGAGAGGGAGGAAGCAGGTCCAAGTCGTCATCCTTGAGGCCCAACCAGTCAGCTCCTCCCTTCCTGGGGGAGATTGGGCTGGAAGCTGCTGGAGGACTTTGTTTGGTGCCTGGTTCTCCCTTGGGGTCTGGGCCACCTTCTAAGACCCTGTTGCAAGACAGAAAGGACAGCATCAGGCAGGGGAGGCACCCTGTCCCAACAGCCCCTTGCCAGTCTTTCCCTCTGTTGTCGGGAGTAGGGGAGGTGGGAGGGTGGACTATGAGGTCCACAGCAAGGAGTCAGAGATGCTCAGCAACTCTGCACAACCAACATGAGGCCCAATGAGCTCCAGGGGCAGGGCAGTGGCATGCTCTATGCTATTTAAGGATGTGGCTCTGGGTGACGTGCTTGCCTAGCATTCATGAAACTCTAGGTTTGAATCCTAGAGTGGCAAAAAAATAAAAATAAAAATAAATATTCTGGGACTGAGGGGCTGGGGACAATGAAGCTCAGTAGTAGAGCATGCGCATAGCATACGTGAGGCCCTGAATTCCATTCCCAGCACCAAGCGGGGGAAAAAACATTCTGGGATTGGGAAGAAAAATCCACGTGGAGTAGTTATGTAGCTGGAAAGAGAGGCCACAAGGCCAGGGCAGCAGAGCTGATCGTGTTGAGCCTGGTGAAGGGCAGGACGAAATTCTCTGTACTGTTCTTACAACTTTTCTAGAAGTGTGGAATTACTTCAAAATACAGTTTAACATATATACTGACAGAAAACAAATTCAGACAATTCCATCACTGATTTAATCTTCTGTTAAAAATCAGGAGGCTGATGGTCAGGGCCAAATCCAGGATCGAGCTTGTCTCCACCCTTCTGCTTGAACTGCTGGGACCAGGCAGCCTTCTCTCCCTTCAGCACCCACAGAGCCTTACACCCTGCCGCCCCCCACAGGGCTGTCAGGTAGGATGGGGAGAGCTGCAGGGACCTGCCTTTCCAGAGGCTGGCCTCCCCAGGCCCTGCTTACCTGACAGACTGTCGCCGAGACTGTGGACCCTCGGAGGAGCCCACAGTGGGCTGGTAGGCCCCAAAGATGAGGTCCTCATTGTCCCAGCTATCTTCTTCTTTGTCTGTAAAATAAGGGGCTTGTGACCATGATCTAGAGCAGGGGAAATGGCAGCCCTACATATAAGAGAAGCAGAGTGGGGTTGCTCGAGAGGAAGCCCTTCGGACGCATGAGAACATCCGGGGACTGTGGAGACACATGGCCAAGCCCTGCCCACCTCCCTTAAGGTCAGGCCCAGAATGCTGTGTTTCACAAGAACAAATCTCAACAGATGGCTGGTGGGATGATGCTTTGAGAAACACTGGTCCTGAGAAATTTTTAAGACATGAGCTGCTGCCTATCAAGAAGGCGGAGCCAAGTATGGTGGCACACGCCTGTAATCCCAGTGGCTCAGGAGGCTGAGGCAGGAGGATTGAGAGTACAAGGCCAACCTCAGCAAAATCGAGGTGCTAAGCAACTTGGTGAGACCCTGTCTCCAAATAATATAAAAAATAGGGCTGGAATGTGGCTCAGTGGTTGAGTGCCCCTTGAGTTCAATCCCCAGTACCCTAAAAAAAAAAAAGAAAGAAAGAAAAAAGAGGGTAGAGAAACCAACTTAAACAGTAATTCATAATCAGATAGCGTGTATATAAAGCAACGGGACAAGGGTAAGAGTTATCTCTTGACACTTCTGTCTCCGTTACAGACGTGTTGATCATGTGTATGTGTCATGACGACATGTCATGGTGCCAGTGTGGTAGAGACCAGGTTTAGAGGTGCCTTCCCCTTCCCTCCTGTCCCATCCTGCCCCTTGGCTTCCTCACCCTGTGGTTTCTGATATTTTTTGTCTAGTTTGAACTCTCTGTGTTGTCCGGGACTCGGATGAGCTAGGAGTTTTGAGGCTGTGCTTCGACCCAGCAGTTCATCCAGCTTGGAGCGAGCAGGGCGGGGCCCTTCCCTGCAGGATGGGATGTGGGGAAGGAATTTATGGCAAGGAGGCTCCCAGGGGGACCACACTGTCCCCTCTCTTGAGCTTTTCTTGAGGTGGCACCACAGCCAGGATCCTCCACTCATAATCATCCTTACTGGTTACCCATCTGTCTCTTCTCTCCCTTGGGGCTGTCTCCGAACCCCAGGGTGGCCATGATGTCGTCCCCATCATCAAACAGCAACTCCTTCTTTCGGATGGGAGTGTCCCCAGGAGTTAGAGGAATACAGGGACCTAGGAGACAGAACCAGGATCCAGGCCTCATAGACTTCTTGCTCTCTATCATGACTGATGGGCCAGGAGGCAGGTAACAGGTTTACCTGTCTGGTTGGCCTATAGGACCTGACTCCCCCACACTCCTAGGCCCATGCTTCCCGCTCCCTGCTTCTGGAGACTGATAACCTTTTCTGGACTTGAGACCTGTGGTCCCACCCTGCTGAGATTCCACACCAGAAAGTCCAGTAAAATGGTCTGTTTTCAACAGACTCTGCCCCCAGGATGAGGAACAAGCTCCTCCAAATCACCTTGCTCTCTGACTGGGATGGGACTTCTGTTGGAAGCTGTTTTACTCTCTGTCACAGGTGGCTTCTTGGCAATGTCTTCTTCCTCATCAGAGAGAAGTCCTGCCAATGGGTCTTCCAAGTCTCAGAGCCAAAAGGGAAAGCAGAAGTTAGACTGTAGCACTTTGTCCAAGAAAAACAGACCTGGGGCTGGGGCAGCTACCCCCAGAACACGAACAAGCTCTTTAGCACTGCAGGGAACAGCCCACTGCAGGAGGCTATGACACAGAGACAAAGCTCGCACAGGGGGCGGTGGGCAACTCTGACTCTACTAGCTAGCTGCAGGGGCTCCTGGAAATGTCCCAAAGGGATCAGAAGAGAAGTAGAGCACTGTGTAGATTTTCCTACACTTCAGAAAGTCTGCACTTTGATACCTGGTTTCCAAGTCCTTGCAAGTAAGTTCCCCAGATGCCCTGGCCAATACAACCCAGCTCACCCCTCCTCTAGGACTGACATCAGGATACCAGCTCTCTGCTCCTCCTCTGATACACAGACTTGACCTCAGGCAAGCAGCAAGCATTACCCTGGCTACTCCCAAAACCGAGTGTCTAGGAGCAGAGCTAGGGTCTCTGGTACCTCCAAAGGAAAGCTTCCTGTACTGATGCCCAAAGCTGCTGGGAGAGGTGGTTGGCTGCTTGGTGGCAACTGTGTCCCCTAAAGGAAGAAGAGAGAGAGAGAGAAATTGTGGGACTAGGTCTTTCCTGGCTGAGGTCCTCCTCCACACCTTGGACTAGCGACCTGGGTGGGGGATACTTCATCCTAGGAAGCCTGAGCCCGTGGGCACAGGCACAGCCATGGAAGCGTCCATACCCATTTTCACCCAGGCTTCTGGCAGGGAAATGTGGTAAGAGGCCTGCTGTCAGCCCCTTGTCATGCATCACTCCAAACAGGGAGCAGGGATGGGGGAGCAGGGAGAGGCAGAAGCTACCGTGCAACTTTCCTTTTTAAAAAGAAATTATTATTCTCAAAGGTGCTGGGAATCAAACCTAGGACCTCATGTGGTCAGGCAAGTGCTCTACCATTAAGCTACACCCAGACCCCACTTTCCATTTTAACTGGAAAAGCTCCTTGAGGAGCTGCACATGTTGAACTTAGAGGAAATGGAACCACCCCCTACCCACCTAACACACACACACAGAGGCACAATTAGCCTTGGCCTCTCTGTCCCAAGCTGAAAAAACCCACAGGACATGTGCGTCCTTCTAAGCACCTCTGAGGTACTGTCCTCCACTCACCCTTCTCACCAGCTGCGAGCCTGCTGGCAGGTCTGGGATTGCTAGGCAGCTCCTCTTTCCCAGAACCCTTGGTAGCTGTTTTGCCAGAGGCTGGATGAGACTTCTTCAAACCCAGGATATCGGCGTCCATGTCATCTAGATCCTAGACAATAGGACGGTGGGGCACAATGCCTAGGGAGATGCTGTGGTGTGTGCTCAGTGTCCCCCTAAGTCTGTGTGAAAGGCTTGGCCCCAGAGTGGTGGTCTTAGAAGGTGGGGCCTTGTGCAAAGTCCATAAGTAACTGCGGACCTTGAAAGGGACTGTGGGACCGCCATTCTCTTTCTTTGCTCCAGTTCCAAATGTGACCATTTGCTCCCACACATGTTCCTGCCATGATGTGTCACCATCTGGCACCCTCACCTCACCTCATTGGTGAGGTGAAACCAAACCAATCCCCGCCTCCACCTCATATTGGACGCTGAGCTTCCAAAACTGTGAGCTAAATAATCCTCCTCTCTTTATAAGTGAGCCGTCTTGGGTACTTTGTTGCAGTAATGTAAAGTTGGTAGTCAGAATGGGAGGAGGGGTTCTAGCTAAGGAGGGGGCAGGCACCTGGGGACGAACTATGAGAGAACAGAGGAAAATAAAACCCTGTTGAGAAAAATAGTGAGTTAGGAAAGAAAACGGAACTGAAGGTGAGCAGAGTGGAGTCAGGGGCCAGGCTCATGGTCTGGGAATACGAGATTCAAAATCTCCACCAAAAACAGAATCAGAGAACCTGAGGGTCATGCCTGGGACTATGGCCAGCTGGCCTGGGGGAGAAAGATTTCAGACTGAGGTTAAAGAAGCTGAATCTAGAGCCAAGAAGGGAATGGATGCCAATTCTTTCGAGCTCTACAGGGATGGAGCCAAGAGCTCAGCCTTCACCCAGAGACTGTGACAAAATGGGGTAAATGGCTGGGCCATGAAGCCTGGAGTCAGAGGGCAGGCTGCTGCTGGCTGTAGGTGAGGGACAACCAAGCCCCTGAGCACTGTGTGATCATATTCTTACACATGGTTCAGAATTTATGTCTTAAGATTCCAGTGTAAAAAGATCAGCTCTGGGCTGGATGTGATGAAAAGGGGATACTAGTTAGCAGGGACGTGGACAGAAAAGGTTAAGAGAAAAAGTTAAGGACAGGTCAAGAATAGGCTTTAGAGGGGACGTGATCTCCAGGTGAGTCTCCAGGTGGAGGCCAGCCCCATTTAATCAGAGGCCTGTGGTATAGACTTTCCAGTCTCCAGATAGCAAGAAAACTCATTATACGCAGGGGAGCAAAAGGGCAACAGTTCGGAGGAGAAGGTACTGGGAATAGAATTGACCAAAGTGTGTTACATACATGTATGAACCTGTAACAAAGAATCATACTATTATATGTATATTATATGTATAATGCATCAATAAAAATTAATTTAAAAGAAGGGTAATAGCTCAGGGGTTCCTCTGTTCTTGCACTAGGAGAGGGTCAGAAATATAGGTGGAGCCAAATGCAGTGGTGCACGCCTGTAATCCCAGCTGCTCAGGAGGCCGAGGCAGGAGGATCATGAGTTCAAAGCCAGCCTCAGCAACTTAGTGAGACCCTAAGCATTTCAGTGAGACCCTGTCTCTAAGTAAAATACAAAATAGGGCTGGGGATGTGGTTCAGTGGTTAAGTGCACCTGGGTTCAATCCCCGGTACCAAAGGAGACATTAGAGGGAGAACACAGCCATGGTATAAGGCATCAGTGCCCTATCCCAGCCCACCCCTGGGGCCTGGGAACTGCTTCCCTACCTTCATGGTCTGCAGCAAGGCCTGCGGGTCTGCCTCTGACACATCGGAAATCTAAGGCCACAGGAGGCAAGGATGCAGATGAGAGGCACATTAGTCAAGGCCCAGTAGCACTAAGGGATCTAGCCCCTGTTACCTTGCTTCTTTGGGAGTAGGTGGCTTAGCAGCGGTACAGCTTGGACAATAGGCATAAACAGAAGGGTCCCTTGCCCTCTACCCTTGGGGCTCAGCTGTAGTGAAGTTAAACTTGCCCAGCTGTGGAGCCCCGTAAAGTGCTGCCACTTTCTGTTCCTCCCAGTGGAGAAGTCACTTCCATCACAGGACCCGAGCTTTACTGCTTCCCAATCATGTGACCAGACCATGTGGAGCTTCTTACAGGAAGGGCAACATCCAGCTCCCACAGTTGCAAGAGGCCTACCTTCTAGCTCATGGTTCTGGTTGGTCCATGTGGCAGCCCTTGGGCATTGTTTTGCTTTAAGAACAAAGTGACTTTGCCAGGACTTCTACACACTTCTGTGAGAGGCTCCTTGGCCACCATACCAATCTCACTGTTCTCAGGGATAAGCAGAGAGGCTAAGGACTGGGGACTGGGCCAGGCTCACCTCAGCATCAGCTTCTACCAGGGTATCAAAAATATTGTCATCCAGGAGGGACCTGCAAAGAGATTGCTGCAATCAGCACTAACCCCTCTACCTGGTCAGGTTATTCTAAAAAATGGAGAGGGGAGAGCTTAGTGGTAGAGCATATGGTTGGCACATATGAGGCCCTCAGTTCAATCCCAGCACCACCAAAAAAAAAAAAAAAAAAAAAAAAAGAGGGGCTTAGAGAACTTGGAGAGATTTCTCCAAGAGGACAAATATGCAAAAAGGAATTCATGAGCACCTAGTGCAGTGATTTTCTTTCTTTCTTTTTTTTAAGTGATAGAGACCTTTTAAAACCAAACTGTTAGAAACAAAAGGAGGCTGGGGATGTAGCTCGGAGATAGAGCACTTGCCTAGCATGTGTGAGGCACTGGATTTAATCCTCAGCACCACATCAAAATGAATAAAAGACCATCAACACCTATAACTAAAATATTAAAAAAAAAAAAAAGGAAAGAGGAAGACAACTGCTGTAGCTAAAATGAAGGTAGAGGGTGGAGCACAACAAGGTTCCTCCCTTATTGCTCATCTGTCAGAAGAGTGAACACAACTTGAAAATCACTGATCTGGGCCAATCCCCTTATTAAGAAAATTTAAGCTCAGACAGGTTCAGGAACTGCTCAATTAACAGATAAGGGACCAGAAGGCTTGGCTTCTGACTTCCAAGTCAGTTCTCCTTCACTCCTCTAGGGCCCTTCAATAACTGGAAGTTAAGGAAAGAGAGTAGAAGTTCCCGACCTCAGCAGCAGGCATGCACCAGTGGGAAGTGGGCTGGATGGGCCACGATCCCTAGGCCGCCCCAGTGCTCACCTTGCTCTGGTCTTTGAAGAAGGGAGCCCCTGAGGTGCACGTGTGGAGCCTCTGGCATGTGAAGCTAGTTCAACAGGCTTCTCAGGTAGTGCCACTGGAACAAGGGATGACGGAAAAGAAGTTGTTCGGTTACAGAGAACCGAGTTGAGATGAAAAGGATGTCAAGTGCCTGCATCCAGCTGTCTCCATGACCTTCCCAAGGAAAGAAGGGCAGTTTGGAGGAAGGAAACTGGTGCCAGAGGCAGGTCTCAGTGCTTACCTTGGGGAAAGGAGTGGTACATTTCCAAGGAAGAAGTCAACCCTAGACATCAGTGTGTGTCACATGAAGAGCTCAACCCAAGCCAAGCCAACTGCACCCCCAGGTTGGCAGAGGGCACCTGACTTTGTGAGTTCTCCTTGCCAAGTGGGGGAGGCTAAGCCTCACTGTCCCCAGTGAACTTTGCCCAACCCAAAGCCCTGCTCCTCAGCACAGCAACACAGACACAAAGGGTAAGGGGCCAGTCTTCAGAATATATCAGGAACTGCTACAACTCAACAAGGAAAAGCCAAAGAACCCAGCTAAAAATGGGCAAAGATCTGAACAGACACTTCTCCAGAAAAGGTAAACAAATAGCCAATAAACACCTGAAAAGATGCTTGCCATCATGAGTCACTGGTGACATGCACGTCAAGGCCACAGTGAGATACACACTCTACACTCCCAAGGATGTTATGAGCAAAAGGGTGGGAAGCACTGGCAAGGACATGGGGAAACCAGAACCCCCTCACGCTGCTGCGGGGAAGACACAAAGACAGCTGCAACGGAAAGCAACTGGTGGTTTCTCAAAGAGCAAAACACAGAGTTACCATAAGGCCCAGCAAGTCCACTCCCAGGTTATACTTGAAAGAACTGTAAGTACACACAAAAACCTATCCACAGCTGTGCACAGCAGCATTATTCATAGTAGCCAGAAATAGAATAACCAAATGTCTTTCACCTGATGAATGTGGTATACCTGCCCTATGGACTATTCTCTAGCCAAAAAAAGAAACGAGAAGGAGGCTTGGTGGGAGGCTGAGGTAGGAGGATTCCAAATTTAATTGCCAGCCTGGGTAACATAGGGAGAACCTGTCTTAAAATAAAAACTTAAAGGGCTGGGGATGTGGCTCAAGTGGTAGTGCACTTGCCTGGCATGCGCAAGGCACTGGGTTCAAAACTCAACACCACATAAAGATAAAATAAAGATATTATGTCCACCTAAAACTAAAAAATAAATATTAAAAAAAAATAAAAATAAAAACTTAAAAAGCTGAGGATGTTGGGCTAGGGATGTGGCTCAGTGGTAGAGTGCTCACCTAGCATGTGCAAGGCCCTGAGTTAAATCCTCAGCACCACATAAAAACAAAATAAAGATATTGTGTCCAACTACAACTAAAAAATATATTTAAAAAAAAAAGTTGAGAACGTGGGCTGGGGTTGTAGCTCAGTGGTAGAGCACTTGCCTGGCATGTGTGAGGCACTGGGTTTGATCCTTAGCATCATATAAAAATAAACAAAATAAAAGTATTGTGTCCATTTATAACTAAAAAAAAAGAAGAAGAAGAACATTCATCCAGGTGTGATGGTGCACACCTGTAATCCCAGTGGCTCTAGATGCTGAGACAGGAGGATCTTGAGTTTAAAGCCAGCCTCAGCAAAAGTGAGGCACTAAGCAACTCAGTGAGACCCTGTCTCGAAATAAAATACAAAATAGGGCTGGGGATGTGGCTCAGTGGTTGAGTGCCCTTAAGTTCAATTCCTGGTACTTAAAACAAACAAACAACAACAACAAAAAAAACTGGAGATGTAGCTCAGAGGTAGAGCATCCTTAGCAAACTGGAGGTCCCAGATTCAATCCCAGTACCTCAAAAAATAAATGAATAAGTAAATAAGAATGAGGTACTGATACATGCTGAAATGTGAATGAACTTTCATAACATCATGCTAAGTGAAAGAAGTCTGACGCAAAGGCCAGATTCTGTATGGTTCCATTTTATACAAACGTTCAGAACAGGAAAATCTATAGAGACAGAAGAAATAAATGGTGGCCTAAGATTGGGTAAGGAGAGTGAGGACTGACTACTAATGGGCATAGAATTTATTTATAGGGTGATGAAATGTTCTGGAATTAGATAGTGGTGATGTTCTAATATTTTAAATGCCACTGAACTGTACACTTTTAAAGAGTAAATTTGAAGCTAGGTGCAGTGGTGCATGCTTGTAATTCCAGCAACTTTGGAGGCTGAGGATTGAAAGTCTGAGACCAGCCTTGGCAACTCTGTGAGACTCTGTCTTGAAAAAAAGGCAGAGGGTGGCTGAGGATATGGCTCAGTGGTAAAGTGCCCCTGGGTTCAATCCCATACCAGATTAAAAAAAAAAAAAAAAGTAAATTTTATGGTCTGGCCTGTGAATTAAAGGGCACTTACTATCATCTCCCAGGAGGTCACCAAGGACTTCATCAATGGAGCCTGGAACAGAAAAGGGCTAGCATGACTTAGGAAGGAAAGAAGGATAGTGTTTACAAACCTCGAGTCTTGGGACTCCCCCAAGACCCTGGTCTCTCAATGCTGGGTCATGTGTGGCTCTGCCTTCACTGGCCTTGGGGTATTTTCTAACCCTCTGGCAAAGTCACCACACTTTGTTGAAATACCTCAAATATAAATTTAAAATAACTTTCTCGGGCTGGCGCTGGGGCTTAGTGGTAGCACACTTGCCTGGCATGTGTGAGGCATTGGATTTGATCCTCAGCACCGCATATAAACAAACACATAAAATAAGAAAAAAAACTTCAATTAAAATAACTTTCTCAAAGGATGCTGGTGAAGCTTTTCAGTAGAACCTCCTTTCAACTTGCCTCCCCCACAACACACTGGCCAACATTCAGTGTTCTGGACTCTGAAAAGTCCAGTATGAGTCTTTGGGAAAAGCATCCAAATTTCTAGGCACATGCAAGCTTCTTTCATGCCAACAGCTTCCTTGACACACCCCCCTCAGTGGTCTGGACACACCTTCCCTGGCCACTTCCTGAGTGAGCATGTTGGGGAAACCCAGGTCAGAACACTGAATCAGTTCTCCCACTTGGCGAAAGTGCCTTTACCACACTTAACCCCAATCAGGTCGCCTGAATACAGGAGCCAATGAGAAGAATTTCTTCCAAAATCTCATTTCTTTTCTTCTTCTTCTTCTTCTTCTTCTTTTTTTTTTTGGTGGTGTGGGAGATGGAACCAACACACAAGGCAAGTGCTTTACCACCAAGCTAACCCCCAGCCCCCAAAACCTCATTTCTTATTTATTTCTGAATTTCTCTTAAGAGCCCAAGAGGCAGAATACTGAGTCCCTAGGAGCACACAGGCTGCCTGAGGTCTTAAGGGAGAAACAAGACTCTCGCCAAGAACATTTAAACAGACATGTCTACGTTGTGTTGGTACCAAAGGGAAAAAAAGAGACACACTGGCTTAAGGGTAATGTTCCATCTCTACTGACCTTTCAGTCCCTTCTTGGTTTTGGATGCCTAAAAATGGGAAAAACAAACAAACAAACAAACAAATACAAAAATCAAATGGTGAACTTGTGTTGAAGCTAGAAAAGAAGAATAGTTTTGCTTTAGGAAGAAACACCAATGGCATTTTCAGACAGAATTTCCTTTATGTTTTCTTGTGTCTGACAATGGACTTATTCAGAACATAGCAAGACCCGCCACTAAGCAGCAGTGGCACCCATAAGCAGCAGAAATTTCTTCTTTTCCCTGATTTCCAAATACCACATGCAAACCCTCACAGCTGGGATACAATATGACTGAAAATGTTTCTTTCTATTCCATGAGCCTGAATCCTCAGTACTACTGATGGTTACTTAAAAAATGCTCCCAGCTGCTGAGTGTGGTGGTGCATGCCTATAATCCCAGAGACCTGAGAAACTGAGATAGGAGGATCACAAGTTTGACTCCAGCCTCAGCAATTTAGTGAGGCCCTAAGCAACTTGGCAAAACCTTGTCTCAAAATAAATAAATAGATACATAGATAAGACAGGGGATGTTGTCAGTGGTAAAGTGCACCTGGGCTAAATCCCCAGGACCAAAAAAAAAAAAAAAAAAGAGCTCCCAGTTGGGCTAGGGATGTAGCTCAGTGCTAGAGCTCTAATCTTGGGTATGTGAGGTCCTGGATTCAATTCCTAGTATCACAAAACCAAAAATGCTTCCAGCTGTACATTCAGAAGCTCAGGAGAAAACCTGCTATAGTTTAAGTCTGAGAACTTGATATCAATGCTTTTTCTTATCACTCTTCTCTGGGGATCACATCCTGGTCCTTGCCATGCATCTCCCAAAGCATTCTATACAGTCAAGATTTGGGGGGCCCAGAGTGGGGTGAAGGGATGGCGTTCGCATTCCTACACATCTTCCTATGCCTTTTGCTTACCATATCAGGGATCTTGGGGGCTGCTTGAAGGTCCTTCACAGCACTGTCCAGCTCATCTGAATTCTGCCCACATCAGGTTCATCCTCCCTGATGAACAAAATTGAAGTGGTTGCTTAAAAACAACGTAGCTTTAACAGAGCTTGACTCCTAGGGTTATCAAGGTTTCTTCCACTTTATTCATTCAAGGGGACAAAATCTACTTCCATACATTAAAAGATTCTTATGGGAGGCTGGGAATGGTGCCTGTAATCCCAGCAATTTGGGAGACTGAGGCAAGAGGATTCCAAGTTTGAGGCCAGCCTCTGCAATTTAGAGAGGGCTTAAGCAACTTGGTGAGAACCTGCATCAAAATTAAATAAATAAATAGGGCCAGGGATGTGGTTCAGTGGTAAAGTGCCTCTGGGTTCAATACCCAGTAACCCCCCCAACCCCCCAAAAAAATTTCCTTATGGGAAAGTGATTCAGATGAGAAGCAAAGTATTCTGGATAATACGTGTTCTGAATAATTGAACAAAGTGCAGTGGTCAGTGTCCTTACACTAAAAAAGGATGTGGAAAATGACAGGGACCCACTTCAGAAAGGTGGGTGTCTGGAAAGGTGGCCAACTCCCTTCCCAGACAACATTCAAGATTACTTTCTAGACAGCATTGGGCACAAAGCGCAGGCTGTGTTCTCTGGTTACCCCTTGACTCGATTTTCACTGATGGTGGAAGATTTCCCCTCACCTTAGCTGTACCTGGAAGTCTTCCTCAGAATTACCTGTCTCCCTCCAGCTCCTCTTTACGGAAACCCACCTTCGCCACGCCAGGTTAGAAAGGAGTCAGAGGCGGTCATGTCTGTTTCCAGGGTGTTGGCCTGTCCTGGTTTTAGAATGTCACGTTTATATATAGGGGTTTGGGACAAAGGCCACTTGGAATGCTTGTGTTTTTGTTCCTTTGCAGTGGCAACTTCAGCGACCCACAGGTCCAAACGCGTTTTGCTCATAACAGGGGCAGAGGGAGACTTCTGTCCCAGCTTCCCAGGCGGCGGGAATTTTCTAGGAGAGGTTTGTAAAGGCCCAAGGGCTCCAGAGCAGCGTCGCGTCAACGCGTTTACTCGGCCAGGTCCACGTCAGGCATTTTTTTAAGCCCCGAGCCCACCCAAGCCAGAGCTCTTCTCAGGGTCCCTCGTCCGTGACACTGCGTGCTCAAAGCGTCGCCACGGCGCGCCCAGCCCGTCCCGACCCGAGCACAGCCTGCAACCCCCAAGCCCCTAAGGTCCCTGTTACACGCCGTCCGCTCGCAGGCCCGGCCGTGGGGACCTGGTTGGGCCAGAGCCGCTGATTACGGTCTCACTCAGCCCGACCGACGCAGCCTGGCCTCCCGCTCCCGGCCGCGCCGTCGCCAAGGGGCTTCAGGCAGCGCGAGGCATCCTGGGAGTTGTAGTCCTCGCCCGTTCACCCGAGGACGGAGGCGCCCACAGTCACGCTTCCCAGCGTGCACCGCGGCGAGCCCTCCGGGACTCCGCGCGTTGCTAGGCGCTGCCAGGCGCTGCCAGGCCGCCACTTGGGGGAGGGACACGCCCGCTCTCGGCGCTGGGAGGCAGAGCATTCTTTGTCCTGCGCTCGGCGGAGGACTCACTAATGGCGGGGTAGGGACCTGAGAAACGTGTTGGCGGGTGAATCCTTAAGTAAATTTTGTACTTATCCCACGCCCAAAGCTTGAAGGGAAGTGACTGTGACTTTCCTGTTCATTGATCAAAGTTGCGCAGCCAGGGTGAAACCCAACACCATTACCCAACAAAAAAGACAAAAACTTTTTCTTGTCTGTGCTTTTTATTAAGGGTTATTCAGTTTCACAAAGCAAAATAGGAGTAGTGGTTTGGCTTACTCCCAGATCAAGCAATACTGGAGGGTCATTGCTATCCCATGATTCCCACTCCCACCCCCACAGGATGGTCAAGCCAGGGTTGAGTACGAATTCCAGCTAAATGCAGATTAAGTAGGAACCAAGCTTAAACCAGTCATTTAGTTGAATCCATAGCTACTGGAAATTAGATGTTTACCAACGAGTCAGCAGTCGGAATATTATGTTAAAGATCACACATGTGCTACCTAGAAATCATCTTATGAAACAGTCAACACTATTGTACCAAAACATTTTTTTTAACTGAGAATTCTTGAAATTACTCCTAATTGTCCTTACAGTCCCAAGACAATCAATGGCTCACTTAAATTTAAGGCAAAACAAGGGATGATGCAGTAGCTCAGTGGTGGAGCACTTGTTCAACATGTGTGAGGTCCTGGGTTCCGTCCCTAGCACTAGAAAAAAATTAGACAAAACATCCTGAATCTTAGGATTTGCAACCAGTAAGTGGTTTGTAACCCTAAAGCAAAACTCATTATATATTCATACTATCTATCATAGATCACATGACTAGGCACTGAAAAATTTTGTGTGGACAATTGTAAGCAGAACCCTACCACCACTATTTTAATTTAATGAAGTAATTTAATTACAATTACTTCATTAAATTCATTTGTTTTAATCATATAAGAACACAGTACTGAATGCTAGCTGATTTACAACTGCATCATTTCATGAAAACCATCAAAACTTATCTAAAAAGAATCAACAAGTCTTGGTCTCGGGCTCAATTTCCAAGCATAGTTACTGCTTGAAGACAATCTGTAATTCCAGGTGTACCCTCCACATATATAAAAGTTGACTGGTGTTACAGACCATGTGCAACTAATTCACTTCCTTCCTAATAAGATGGATGGGAAGAACTCAGAAAAAGGGGGGGGGGGGAGAAACTGAGCAGCAATTGTCCAAAGACTTACTGATCCCAGAGAATTCCAGGATGATGGAGAGTTGTATTTCTCCAAAGCATTATAATGAAGAATTAAGACCTAACATGTTAGCTTTAGGAACTATAAAATGCCTGCAGATATGTGGAATCTGAAATCATAAGAAAGCATGTGAACATAATTAATATCATATTTAAGCAAATATCCTTAAGATTAAAGGCCACAAAGGCTTGGGACCAACTTTTTTTTTTTTTTAATATGGAACACTTCACAAGTTTGTGTCGTCCTTGCATAGGGGCCATACTAACTTATACAGTTACAATTTTAGTATATGTGCTGCCAAAGCAAGGACTCAACTGTGCTTGGAGGTCACTAATGTCCAAACATTGAAATACCTTGGCATTCATCTATTGGGGCAATAAATGAGGAAGAAGTTCAATTTCTATCCATTTAAAATAACAAATATCTAGTTAGCGTCAAAATTTCATTTTTAAAAAAGGTTCAGTATTATCTAGTAGAAAAATCTCATTAATAATATTCATTTACATCTGCTACTTGTTCAGTCATTGTTCCTTTCTTGCTCATTCTTAGCGTTACCAAGACCTTACAAACCTACATTTAAAATTTCTTCATAAGTTAAACATATTTGTGTGGCATGCTTTTCCTCAATAGTACAAATCAGAAATTTTACTACATTTTTAATCTTTGATTACATTGCACAAAGTTCAAGACAAAAACATTCCAATATTAAGAAAAATACTAGTATCAAATGTCATATTTAGTTTTAAAATAAAACTCAAGGTGCTGAATGAAGATGACTTTGTGGGCCCACAATCTCTGAAATCTGCTAAGACTGATCCCAGCTCTATGTAGCTGGATTAGGTGGGTCAGTTCAGACACCATATATTGCTGCCTATAAATGTTCATCTGTGAATACAGCATTGTAACACTAATTTTGAAATTAACTCCTTTTTTGTGTTTGCTAGGAACTGAACCTAGGGCCTTGCACACGCTAAGCAAGTGCTTCCACTGAGCTATATCCCCAGCCCTTTTCATTTTATTATTTTTTAAAATATTTTTTAAAAACTTAGCAAGACAGGAACTTGCTAAGTTTCTCAGGCAAATGAACTTGCAATTTTCCTGCCTCAGCCTTCCCAAAAGCTGGGATTACAGGCATGCAACATGCCTGGCAATTCTACATTTAACAGGTCAATATGGAGTCATATAATTCATTTCTTAATTTTCCAGAATCTGAATTGTCAATATACAGCCAATGAGTGACAGTGCAACTCTTCAATAATAACACAATTATCAGTTCTCAGAGAGAAAAAATTAAGGCTGTGTCAACAGACAGTATTTCTGTTGTAACCTAAAAGTCTCACTCATATTACCAGCTCCCATGGGACAAATTTTATGTCAGGTTCATACAAGGAAATTGTTTCCATCGAATTTATTCTCAGAAACTGTCCTAGAAACTTTTTCATGAGTAAGGGATCACAAAAAGGCTTAAAAAAAAAAAAAAAAAAGATTAAGTGGTTGGCATAGTGCCCATGCCTATAATTCCAGTTACTTGGGAGGCTGAGGTTGGAGGTTTCAAGTGAGGCCAACCTCAGCAATTTAGCAAGATACTGCCTAAAAATAAAATAAAAAATGAAAAGAGCTGGGAATGTAGCTCAGTGTAGAGAGCCCCTGTGTTCAATACCCAGTATTGAAAAAAGAAAAGAAAAAAAAAAAAAAATCAAGTGATATTTTTTAACATTGATTAAAAAAAAATTCATTAAAAGGTATATGTTTAACCTTTAAATACAGAATGATTGTGCAAATTAGATTTCAACTGGAAGAACAATTTAGCAACTCATATAAAGCTCCTTGATACATACAACAAAACCAGATAATAGGAAACAATCTATGGAATTTCCATTTACCCTTTAGTCCTTTCAATTATATTTTCTAAACAAAAATCAGAACACATGGTTTGTATCAAAGGGTTTTTCTGGGTATAAGTGGTGACCTAAGTGAAATTTTCATTTATTTTTCTAATGCCAAACACTTAGTAGCCTCCAAGTATTTTAATGGCTTATGCCTAAATGACAGAACACAAAATCTGGATTGTCCCAGGAAATCTAGTTGATAAGGTCACCAAAACTACAGCAGTGCCACAGCTGCATGCAGATTCTGCCTACATGTACTCTACTAAGGAATGTTTTCCTCCCTTCTTCAGTACCTCTTTCAGAGGAATGCAAGAGGGAGGGAGGGAGAAGATGAACACACTGAGGCCCCAGCAATGCCCAAATGTCATATAGAGAGATAACTTTACTATCTATTCCTTCCCAGAAGCTGAGGACAAAAAGAGTCATAATCCTAGAATGACAATTAGAAATCCCTACAGTGGTGATGAATCTCTAACTAGTAAGACAAAGGGCCTGCAGAGGACCTCTCTCAAAGAGGCCTCTTGGAAATGCTAATGTGGGTCAGAAGGGAGCAACACATCAGCAAAGGAAAGAAGCACACAGGAAATGTGCCAAGCACACATTCACTCACATTAGGTTTCTTATTACTTTCCTTTCTTTCTCCATCCCACTTCTTCAGTCCTACTTTTTAGCCAGTCCTAGTAGGAGCAACAGGTCATCTAGCAGGAAAGCTTGGAAGGGTTTTGCCCCACTTAAAAAGTACTTTTGCTTAAACACACTTAAATAGCCCATGATTCCAGTGATTAGCAATTAAAATTCAAAAAATAATTAAGTACTTAGTAGATAAATTCTGCTAATTATCAAAAGTCATGACCTAACGGGGATCAGCAGCATTACAAATGGAAGTCACACTGCCATTTCTTTAGTTTTTTTCTGAATGCTTGAGAAGTCTCTTTCAGTGTTAATTGCACTTAGAACGTATCCTTTTTTCAATTTAATCTCTGAAATCTGTTCATTTTTTTCTTCATTTATAAAAAGAGAAAAAGGGCCAATTTATCATTTGTTCTACAGCTATATGAATGTAATAAAGATTCTGCAAAGATGTGTGCCTTGGGTAGGAGAGAGAGATGCACACAGCTGCTTTCTGGAGCCACCGTAACTTGTCCTTCTCACACGTCAGAGCTTGGACTGCAGCGGCTTCAGGTGCTTGTGATAAGATTCATGGACCTGTAGAGAAAGGAGAGGGCAGAAATACTGTTACAACCTTGCCATATTGCCATGTAAATAGCCTACTTTTAATGAGAAGTTATCTGGGCTTCATTTGGATTCAGATTCAAATTAGGAAGGAAAAAAAAAAAAAAAAAAAACCCTGAGTCAAATTGAGCAGATATGGACTCAGAAGGCCAAGACAGAAGGATTGCAAGTTCTTGGCAATTTAGCAAGATTCTGTCTCAAAATAAAGTGTTCAATTAGTTATTAAATATTCAAAGAAATTAAAACCCTGCTTATTGTGGGAATAAACCAGTTCCTTTCTGAATCTGTTGCTCAAATAAAGTGGCCACAGTGCCTTTGGGCTTTCCAGAGGCCTTTTCTACCTCATACTGAAAAAAAGAACTTCAGTGGGCTGGGAGTGTGTCTCAGTGACCTAGTGCTTGCCTTGCTAGCATGCATGAGACCCTGGGTTCCATCTCTAGCCCTACAAAAAAATAAATGAAGAACTTCAGAAGGCAGAAAGAATGTGTTTCTTACCTCTGTTTGGTTCAGTGGGGATTTCTTGGCCCACTCAAACAAGTTTTCATACACATTCCCATCGTAACGGCCAAGAACAGAGCCCAGCGTCACATCCTTAAAATCAAATGCATCAACCAAAGCAACAGCATTGGGGCGAATTATAGTGAGCAACTCCATTATACGCTGATTCACTTGGGTAATCTGAGACCCTGTCATGATGTTCCCCTAAAGTAAACCAAAATAAATACATAAAAATATGTATGTGGACAGAGGTTTATATACACAAAACTATAATAGATAATAATTATTTTTCTACTTAAAGAATTCTTACCTGAAGGAAATCCCCTGCCTTCTGACTTATTCCATACAGACAATACAAAAGACACAAGTTCCTTAAAACAGCTTGGATGGATTTATCTTGAATTTTGAGGAGTTTTTCAGAAAAGAGCTTAACTACCACATAGTGGCAATGTGCCTAGATAAAAAAGAAAACAGTGTGTGGGGACCTTGGGGAAGACCCCAATACACAGCAACCAGGCCAATAAAGAAAAGTGGGGTGGGCAGAGGGAGGGTAGAGAACTACTACTGACCTCACTTGCTCGAACAAGGTCAACAGAAGTTAGGTTCCATGCTACCTCCTTGCTTTTCCTGTGACTCATTTCATTTCGAAGATTTTTCGCAGCAATGTCCACTAGTCTATTAAGGAAATGAAGGAAAAGTGGAGAGCTGAGGAAATGATCCACAGTACTCATGCCTTCTCTAATCTACCCTGCCCAGAAGCCCCCACAGCTGGGTCTTTGAGCTTCCAAGGGTGAGCTCACCTGGCTGCACGAAGCTTATATGCTTCTGTCAGGCTGTCTGGACTGCTGATATCCACCACAGTTGGCCGGACTGCCACATGCTGTGGCTGGATACGCTGACTGGGCAGGTCATTCAAGTAGGACACCATGCCACACACCAGCTCTCCTGAGTGCACGTGGTCATAGCTTTTCATCAAGAACCTACAATCACCAGTACACGTACTTTTAGTAACCCCACTCCTGAAACAGACTGCACCACGTGACAGGTGTTTCAGACCTGCTAGACTGACCACAGATAAAAACAGTGAGTCAAGACAGGTGCCAAACTATGTCTTTTGCAAACAAATATACATGCACATGCGTGAGAAAGCATGGCAACAGGAACCCATGGAAAGGACTCAAACTAATAGGAGACATCGTGAATTCAGTTCTCACCTGGCTGTCTGTAGCATCATGACAGTGTTTTCTCCTTCGAAGGTACAGGCTGGGGTGAAAGTGACATAAATATTTGGAATACCACTGCTATGAGAATAGCCATGACCACCACAAGCCATCCGACACTCTTCAATAGCAGCGTTTGCCGTCCAGGTGGTGAAAGCTTTAAGCCCAGCTGTGAGGGCATGAAGCTGGGGGACAAGCACAGTCCGTAAGAACACCTATGGTGCTCAGTGTCTGTGTTCCAATGAGAAAACACACACCTTTCTCTAACCCGTCAGTTGCTCTTCAAATTAAGTGAAGCAGCAATCAGTTGACCGGCCTGAATTAATAATACTCTCACACTCACTTCTGAACTTTTTTTTTTTTTTAGAATTTTAATATTTATTTTTTAGTTTTTGGTGGACACAACATCTTTGTTTGTATGTGGTGCTGAGAATCGAACCCGGGCCGCACGCATGCCAGGCGAGCGCGCTACCGCTTGAGCCACATCCCCAGCCCTCACTTCTGAACTTTTGACTTAGCAAAAGTCAGCCCTTTTCATGTTCCCTTGACTGACAAATGACCACTGTGGTTCAACACTTATGATACTTAAAAACAAAACCCACAAAGTTAAAATCATGTCTTTGTATCTGACCCACTTTCAATCAGTTAAAGTACCAAGAATACGTCATTCTTTTCAGGAAATCACCCCGTGTAGTTTCTTCTGGACATTTCCCAACAGGCAAATGTGAAACAGGGGCTGGGGATATAGCTCAGTTGGTAGAGTGCTTGCCTTGCATGTACAAGGCCCTGGGTTCAATCTCCAGCACCACGAAACAAACAAACAAACAAACAAATAAACACAGTTGTTTTAAAAAAAAAATGTGAAACAGAAGGGCACCCACTAGTAAATGAGACTCAACATGTACCTCAGGCAGCTCACTCAGATCTCCCTGGCCGATGCCCTCGTTAATCCGATGGTAGGTTTCCTTCATGTATGCGCCTACAAACTGGAAGGCATAGGCAGTGGCCAGAAGTGGAAAGAGTTTATACTGCTGGGTTTGAAAATCCAAAATCTGTGGTTCTGGTTCACTAAATTACATAGACAAAGAAAAAAAGTAATAAATAAATGCTTAATCAGAAATTGCCATGTGCCAGGTTCTGGTCTAAGCACTCTTGAATCACTTATTTATCCTCATAAAGACCCTGCAAAATAGCTGTCATTATCTTCATTTTACACATAAGAAACAGGTTAAGAATCAGAAGTCACACAGCTAATGAGTGGCAGATCCTCAACTTAAATCTAGTTTCTTTGGTTCTGTAAGACCATGCCCTTAGCTTCTTTTCTGTACCACCACAGATGGACAAAATCTTTTAGGTGCAAAAGCCCCATCCATCCTAGTCTTTCTAGTATGACTAAGGAAACCACGCTTCTTGGGCAACACACAAAACCAAAGCTAGATAACCTCATAAAAGGAACGGGATGCCAACAAGGTCCAGCATTCCATATGGTGAATCAGCTATTTTGACCACAATCTTGGAGAAGACCAAATACATAGAGATAAATATTCTGAAGTGTTAAGAATTAATAAAAGTCTGCTCTCTTTTTTTTAAATTTTCTGATATCTTTCGTTATTTATTTTTATGTGGTGCTGAGGATTGAACCCAGGGCCTCACATGTGCAAGGCAAGCGCTCTACCACTGAGCCACAACCCCAGCCCCAAGGTCTGCTCTTATTGGCCTTTTTTTTTTTTTTTTGTACTGAAGAACCAACTCAGGGGCAGTCGACCACTGAGCCACATCCCCAGCCCTTTTTAGTATTTTATTTAGAGACAGGGTCCCACTGAGTTGCTTAGGGTCTCACTAAGTTGCTGAGGCTGATTTTGAATTCATGATCCTCCTGCCTTAGCATCCTGAGCTGCTGAGATTATTGGCGTGTGCCACCACGCCCAGCTCTCATTGGACTCTTTCTGTAGCCCTGGGGTTCAAACCCAGGGTCTCATACATGCTGGGCAAGTGCTCTACCACTGAGCTATACTCTCCAGCTTCAGTTTCTTTATTCTTAAGGGAATCAAGTTTAATGCTACTTCCATTATATACAACTTGTAACCATTATCAGTAATTTTAACTTTCATACCGATTTCAGTGTTTTGAACATATCCTTTATAATACTTCAAATAACATCATTTCTATTTACTTGGAAGGCTAAAAAATAATAAGGCGGGCTCAAGATATAGTTCTGGTTTAAAACGCTTGACACCTTGGGTCAGATACCCAGCCCTAAGGTGGGGGGCAGCAGTTAAGATGGTTATTCTCATCTTTCCTCTCAAAACAAGGAAGTCTAGATACTAAGTAAAAGGCCTAGTACACTGCCACTCTATATTTTTGTTGTTGTTTGTTTGTACTGGGGACTGAGTCCAAGGTCTCATGCAGTAAGACACTAAGTTGCCCAGGCTGGCCTTAAACTTGCAATCCTCCTGAGTAATTGCGAATATAGCTATGGGCCATTGTGCCCAGCCACCCTAGCTAATTTTTCACAACTAATGAATCTTCTCTACTCATATTTAATTCTGATATCTCAATATCAGTACTACACCATCTCAGATGCTATCCTCACCCTGGCTTGATTTCAGACTGATGCCTCACAGCGCTGTAGCGGATGGCAATGGTGCAGGCCTTGGACAGAGACCGAGCTGCTTCTCCCACAAGGAAGGACCTGACGAACACCATGGTCCCATAGGTCAGCTTGTCACTCAGAGGTTTCACATATGTGCCATCAGGTTTCACCTGGAAGAACAATATAGAACTGATGCTTCCTTCTGTGAGCCCAGTGGTAGTTCAGTGGTTCTCCAAGTGACGTTCCTGGAACAGCAGCATCAGCAATGACCAGGAAACTTGTCTGAAATAGTACACCTCAGTGCCTACACCGACTCACTAAACCAGAAATTCTGGGGGCAAGGCCTGCGTTTTAACCAGTCCTCTGAATCATTCTAAAGCATGTAAAAGTTTGAGAACCAGAGTTTAAAAACTAGGTCAACTGCTTCACCCCTGTCAACTGCTCCTGATTTCACCGCCACAATAAATGAAGCATCAAAAATAAAAACATCATCACCTTATAAAAACATATTATTCTAGCCCATGGTTACCAATGGTTATCAGTAGCCACTACACCCCCATGCTGGGCATCCTGGGCCCTGTTTTCTAGCTAAATATACCTGGGCATATTTCATCAGCATATTTTCTCTGGGAATACGATAGTTGTCCATCTTTAGGTAGCCATTGTCCATCTCTTCATAACCAAATTTGGGGCCAATGTCTCCAACAGTAATACCTACAGCAGATGACAGAAAGACATGAGATTCTTGAATCCCTAATGCAACTTCCTGCCTCCTGTTTAGTTGTGCCTTACACTTTTTGCAAGGCAAGTGCTCAGTTTAATTTTCACCTTGATATCCAATGAACATTCCTTACCTGGCAAGGGCTTGTGGGTCCCAATTTCACGAATAGGTACGATGAAGGCATGTAATCCATAGCACTTCCCCTGAGTGAAGAGTTGGGCAAGAACTATAGCATGATTTGAAGTCTTCCCGACTGCAATATCAAAGAGAACAGGAGACAGTGAGCAGGCAGATGCTCTTATATTTTTAAAAGGTGCAAACAGAAGAGTGGACAACAGTGTGTTAAATTAACATAAGCCAGAGCAAGTTGTCTAGACAGACCCCATTTTTAAAAATATTTTTTAGTTGTTGATGGACCTTTATTTTATTTATTTGTATGTGCTGCTGAGGATCAAACTCAGTGCCTCACACATGCTAAGCAATTGCTCTACCACTGAGCCCTAGCCCCAGCCCTAGACAGCCTTTTTTAAGACAGTCTTCCACCTAGTTTTCAGAAAGAAGTCACTTAAGTTCAGTTTTTAAAATTTATTAAATTTTGGCAAAGCAATTCTTCATTTAAAAACAGCTTTATGGGGCTGGGGACGTGGCTCAAGCGGTAGCGCGCTCACCTGGCATGCGTAGGGCACTGGGTTTGATCCTCAGCACCACGTAAAAATAAAGATGTTGTGTCCACCGAAAAAATAAATATTAAAAAATTCTCTCCAAAAAAAAAAAAATAAATAAAAATAGCTTTATTTTACTTATTTCTCACGTATTTACATAAAGAAAATTTTAGGATAACCATCATAATGTTAATTTAAATTACTTCTTTTCTGGGTTTGTAGCTCAGTGGTAGAGGGCTTGCTTAGCACATGTGAGCTGCTGGGTTCAATCCTCAGTACCACATGATAAAGTAAGGGTATTGTGTCCATTTACAACTACAAATGTAAAATTAATTAATTAACTAATTCTAATTAAATAAAAGTTTCAGTTCCCTAGTTACCCTTATTTCAACTGCCCAAGAACCATATGTGGTAGGTGGCTACCACACTGAGAAGCAGAGATTTTAAAAAAACCCTCCCACCACTGTACAATCTCCTGTGGGGCAGGGCGGCCTCTGGCTAGCACTTCCAGAGATAATATTCATTCTTTTGCATTCTAGTTTTCTTCATATCAAAATATAATGTCACACAGCAAAAATAATGTGATAGTAAAATCCTTCAACCATTGATGCCATCTGACCTATACATCCCAAGACAATAATTCAGAATGAAAAATACTAAAAACAGCGTTTAAGGGGCTGAAGCAGGAGGATCCCAAGTTTAAAGCCAACCTCAGCAACTTAGCAAGACCCTGTTTCAAAATTTAAAGAAATAAAAAGAACTGGGGATGTGGCTTCATGAAGCATCCCTGGGTTCAACTTCCAGTACTTAAAAAAAATAAAAAATAAAAAAAATATATGTATAATCAAAATTTTAAAAATACTCAACTGTTTGGTAAGATAATGTTAAGTTACTTTATTTATTTTTTTAATATATATATTTTTTAGTTGTAGCTGGACATTAGTTTCATGTTTTACATAAAGATACGATATATATATTTATTTATTTTTATGTGGTGCTGAGGATTGAACCCAGGGCCTGACATGAGCTAGGTGAGCACTCTACCGCTGAGCTACAACCCCAGCCCAATATTAAGTTACTTTAAATGATGATGATGCAAAGTATGGTAATATGTGGGAACATTTGATGAAAAACTAAGAAAAATAGCATAATAGTCATTTCTGTGCTAAGATGTATAAATATATATAATATGTAACACGAAAGGAAGTTATGAATAGTTTAAAGACTTAAAAGTTTTTTTTCTGCATTTCAAAATGATATTCTCACGTAAGGTCTACATTGCACATATAATCTCATTACAAATCTTCAAAATATCCAATAAATGCTAAAAAATTCACTTACGCCCACCAGGCCACCACTTAATGGAGGTCACCGTAGGACTGTTGAGAATGAACTCTTGGGTTTTGGGGTCATACGTGGCAGTGGTTTCCAAGCCTCGAAGATGAGTTCCTATGGAAATAAATTACATTTCCTTTGGATAAACATGTGTAAAAATAGTGGTGCAGGGTAAAACTTCCTGCCCAGTTCATAGCTCTAGTATCTCAGAGAAAAGCAAAACCTAACAACACTACATTTGTAGATGAGTACAAATGGTTGATAAGCAAGATAATTAATTTCCCATTCTATCAGACAGTTTTCCACGCATGTTCCATTTTTACATCTGATTTAGTTAATTTGTAACATTTCTTTAGACCTACCAAAAGAAAATGCAAAGGAAGCTTGGAACCGTATTTTCCTAAGATTGTAATGTATGATCCTACCAGGGAAGTTTACTGTCCTTTTAAACTCATCTCTGAATTTCAATTGTGAAAATTTCCATGATGTGTACTGTGTTTACCACACCACTTCAACATTCTGGAGCTACTTATTACTGAAAATGAGATAATAAGTGACAGGAACAGACTTCAGCTAAAGTTGTTTTTTTTTTTTTTTGTAAATTGATAATTTATTTCAGAATGATTGCTAGGATGGAAAATAAGAACTTAAAAAGGTATATTCATTGAAGAAAAAGGCCTTAAAGAGGGACTTTTAAAATCCTAGCTGGGCCACAAGTACGACAGGGGAAGGGTTCTTAGTTTCATGTTTTACTAAAGATATGATGGGGACTTGTGTTTTAAAGTCTAATACAAATATGCTAAAATTGTGGACTGTGGATATAGCTTAGTTGATAGAGTGCTTGCTTCACATGCACAAGACCCTGGGTTCGATCCCCAGCACCACAAAAAAAAAAAAAAAAAAAAGCTAAAATTCTTTGAAAAGAACCATAGAAAAATGTCCCTGGTGACACTCTAATTAAACTCTACTAAGCAAATACTGAGGACCTTCTACCAAACTACTTGGATAATGCCAGATCTCACTGAATGCTTAAACTATAAAATATTTCAAAATTTTCAAGACGAGTAAGAGAAATGGCTAGTTTACGTGCAATTCATTCTTCCCCTGTAGGGGAGTCAAGAACCCAGGCACTTATATTCCATTCACCAAAGAAACTTTAACAGAAAAAAACAAAAATATACTAAACAGAACAGATAAAGACAAAATGTTTTCAAATGCACAAGGAACTGAATTATTTTGCTGTGCCTCTTATAAAATCCTGTAAACTACTATTCAGCACTGAGTAGTAAAAGGCAACTCTACAGAATTAAGGAATTAAGAGGCAATATAGTAGGTTTCCTGAAATCTCAGAGCAGGAAAAAAGTAGGAAGAACTAAGTAAATGGCAAAAGAGACACCAATTCAGAACAAATAAGAGGAACAGCTACTACCTTCAACCCCATTTAGGTTCATGAAGCAGGGCAGATGAGGGTGGAAAATAAAGAAAGGTGCTGTATACCAAGTCTGAAGCCAACAGCCTGAAAGTACAGCTTATCTTTTAATTTTTCTGGTCAAGCCACCTTCAGAACTTTTCTGAATTTACTGAATCAAAATATAAATAACTTCAAGGCATAAAATGTTGCAAATTTTCATTATACTAAGCTACTCATTTCCCTCAAGCAAGCCAAAGAACATACATACAATTAAATATGTACTTCTGGGATCTGCAAAGGTGCATTAGGGTATCAGCAGTAATCAGACAGTAGCAAAGAAAATATATGGGTTCAAATTCTATGTGTAGATTCTATACAACATGAATGAACTTGAAAAATCATTTGGTAAATAAGGCTTAATTTGTCATTCTTGACCTTTTAAATGGGAACCATAAAAAATTAATCAGAAAAATCACTATGATAACTTAATTTCCATGACCAAATCATTATCTATGTCCAAACCTGGACTCTGCAGAAGAAGCTCTTTTAAATAGCTCGTAGTTGGCTGATGTGCCATTCCTAACAGGAGATGGGCACTCCATACCTGCCCAGCTGGCAGGAGCACACCCCACCCAGAAGGTAGACTGAACACACTGTACCATGACCCATCTCTGTCTGGGCATAAGTGCCAGTGATCTCCAAATTCCAGGCGGGCATGAAGAAACGCTCCTGCTGTTCCGCAGTGGCCTGGTGAAGCAAGGTGGGTAGGAACATGCCCAAGTGAAGATCCAAAGGCTCAGGTCGCCCTCGGTGCACAAAGCTTCGGAGAAATAACAAGGACGGGCATTTGAAAGAAGCATCATCAGGTGTGAAAGAACCATCAATTTGAACAGATAGAGTGAGGGAAAGAGGGGGGGAAAAAAAAAAAAAAACCTTGGGTAAGTATGAATTAGTCATGTGCACTTCACAAGGATGGGAGCACTGCTGCTTTCTGTATTACTTCGCAATCACCACCTTTCTTAAGTTGGCAAGGAGTATAGTAGGGACAGCTGCCAATCCCCAAGTCCATGCAGCACAAAGCCACATGTACAAGGTACCACTCCAGTCCAGCAATTAAATCAAAATTAACAAAAAATTTGAAAAGGCTGTATGGAATGGAGAATTTAAGTAGAATGAGACTACTCTGATGGAAGAGAAACAGGAGAAAACTGCAATTCCCTCAGAGTAACAATATGATACCTCCCCACTCAAGTTTTTCCTAGATGCAATTTCAATAATGCTTCTAGGTTGGGATATTTTGGCCATGCTCCGCTGAAACAAATTAATACAAAAATTGACAGTGCTCTTCATCCCAATAATTTAAATAATCAAAAAGACATGCAATTTCTAGTGCAGACTACAATAATCCCAAATTACAGATCCATGCATAACAAGCATTCCATTATGATTATTCAGGAATTATCACCAATGATTATAAATATCTTGGTTTTAGTCTTAAATTGCCACAGTCTGGCTGGGCACAATCAGGAGCCACTTGTCAAAAGAAACTAACTTTATTTTTAGAACCACACACACCAAACAAAACAGCCTCTCAGGAAAAACCCTCAGAGCCTGAACTGCCACCACCGGCTTTCCACAAGCCTCTCTCTCCCACACAAGCTTCTCCCCACCTCCCACAATCCTCCTGCTCTTGAGGCCGATTGGCTGGGTCACGTGGGCGGAGCCAAAAAAGTCCCCCAATGAGCAGCTCCGTGGTCTGAAAGGGCAGGGAAACAGCCCAATGAGCATCACCGCAGAGGAGCCAATCAGCTAGATGTTGCTGGGGCCGAGGAGCCAATCAGCTAGATGTTGCTGGGGCCGCTGTGAGCCAATCATCAGCCAGCAGCTGGAAGTTTGCTGGCAGCTGGAAGTTTGCTGGGGCCCCTTTGGCTGTGGCTCTCAACATCTCCCCCTCTCTGTTTAAACAACAAGCATGTGGCTTAGGGACCGTGCCTGTTAGGCAGTCCAATTCAACATATGGTCCTTACCCGTCATCGGATGAACTGACCTCTAGGCGTCAGCCTCCTGTCTTAGGTTGGTACCACTGCAATTGGATCATACCCGTCACTGACTACCGGTCCAGCATACAGCCATACTTGTGGATAGGCCTTTGCACCTGTGGGGGGGTGAGGTTCTTTGCCTCACCTCTGTTGGCCCCCAAATTTTAGACCATCACTAGTAGAGGAGGATGCAAAATGCCATGACATTAAGCCAATTGAGGGCTCCTTTGAAAAATTGTACCACCGGTGACACCATCAGCAAAAATACTCCAGCACTACCACAATTCGCTGTACCAACAGATAGTTACTTCTGTGGTCATTTTGTTCCACTTAAAAGTTTGTGTCTCAGATTTCTTTCTAAGAATAGGAACAGTTCTATATGCCTCTGTGTGCTTCAAGTCACTAGCATTCTGTTTCACCTCCAGCTCCCAATTAATCAACTATATATTGTAGCTATTATTCTACTTAATTATCTTAGAAATGAGCTTACACAATGTTTCAGGTTTCAAATTTCTCAGTTTGTTCTAAGGTAAGTAGGAAAATAATGAGGTCCTATTGCTCAGACAAAGGCTGATCAATGACTTGCAATCAAGTAGGTGGGCTTTTAGCTAACCAACCACATAAAAATCAAAGAATGTGTGGCACACACCAATAAATATCCCAGAGACTTGGGAGGGTGAGGCAGGAAGACTGTAAGTTTGAGGCAAGCCTCAGCAACTTAGGTGAGACCCTGTCTCAAAAAATAAAAAAAGCCTGGATATAGCTCAATGCTAAAGCATCCCTGGGTTCAATCCCCAGTATGGGAGAAGGGCTATAAGTGGGGTGAGGGGACAATCAATTGAATTCTTATCTATTAGGATCATTCATATGAAACCCCAAAAAAGAGAAAACTATTTTGTACAAAAGTAACAAAATACTGAAATTTTATTAAGCAACTTAGCTCCTTCCACTGGCACTGAAACCTGGGAGCAGCCTTTCAGTATTGTCATGGGAGGCTATTTTGTGTTACTAGAAATCAGTGATTCTTGGTTGAAGGCAAGGCCACAAGGGAGCCCTCATCAGACTCAAGGGGTGCACCTGTGTGGTGTGCTATGGAGTAACACTGAGCACCGAGAGGCACCATGGAATACATGTAAGGCAGCGGGTACAACTACTACAATCAGAAACTGAAGAACACTTTTGGTTAAAAAATGTTTCTCATTAAAATATGATTCAGAAGTAGATAAAATTTAGAAATGCTACAAGGAGAAAGTGATTTTTTTTTTGACTCAAACCAAGATTTGTTGTAAAAAGTTGATTTGGTATGATTACATATTTCTTTTAACTAATTTATCATAAAATTAAAAAACACCAGCTGAGGTTGGTGGAACACCGCTGTAATCCCAGCTATTCAAGAAGCTAAAGCAGGAGGATAACAAGTCCAAGGCCAGTGTGGGCAACTTATTAGCGAGACACTGTCTCAAAACAAAATTTTAAAAGAGTTCGAAGGAAGTATAGCTCAGTGGTACAGTGCTCATGCATGAGGCCTGGATTCAATCTCCAATAATACAAGAAATGAGAAAACAAAAAACAACAAAGTACCAAGATTATACTGAAAGAAGCACTAGAGTCAGTTCTTTTTACACCATACACCAAACGGCCTTTCCAGGTCTCTCCTACAAGCTACCAGGATGGAAACCAATACTAAGAGGAAAATAGCTTAATACACACACACACACAAATAAATAAATAAATAGATAAATAAAAATAGCATCTCTATGGATAGCATGATTATAATTCTGAAATCAACAAAAACAACAAAATACAGCAAATAATCCACTAAGAAAATCTTTAAGGCTACAAACAGAGTGGGAAAAAAAAAATCTACTGAATTCTTATTCATTAGGTTCATTCATATGGAAACCCCAGAAAAGAGAAAGACAATTTATAAAAAATAACAAAATACAGGTTGTGGCTCAGCAGTAGAGTGCCTGGCATGTATGTGGCACTGGGTTCAATCCTCAGCACTCCCATAAAAATAAATAAATAAATAAATAAAATAAAGGTAGTGTGTCCAACTACAACTAATAAATTTTTTTTTTTAAAATAACAAAATAAGGAAAATTTGTTAAGCAACTTAACTCAGGATATTATAAGATTTATATTTAAGAAAAAAACAATACTTGCCAGGTGCAGTAGCACACACCTGTAGTCCCAGTGGCTTGGAAGACTGAGGCAGGAGATCGAAAGTTCAAAGCCAGTCTCAGCAATTTAACAAGGCCCTAACAAATTTAGTGAGAATCTGTCTCAAAATAAAAAATAAAAAGGGCTGGAGATATGGCTCAGTGATTAAGTGCACCTGTGTTCAATCTCCAGTACCAAACAACAACAACAACAATAACAAAACACCAAATAAATGTTATTTCTTTTTTACTCAAACATGTATTTTGAGGTAAAAATAGGAGCCTTATCCTATCAGATTTAAAACTATATTAAAAAACAGCAATGAGGGCTGGGATTGTGGCTCAGTGGTAGAGCACTTGCCTCACACGGGTGGGACCTGGGTTCAATCCTCAGCACCACATAAAAATAAATAAAATAAAGATATTGTGTCCATCTATAACTAAAAAATTTTTAAAAAGAAGTTGCTAAAGATATGGTAAATCGGGCTGGGGTTGTGGCTCAGAGGTAGGGCACTTGCCTACCACGCATGAGGCACTGGGTTTGATCCTCAGCATCACATAAGTAAAATAAAGACATTGTGTCCACCTACAACTAAAAAACAAATATTTAAAAAAATATACATTGTACATTGTTCTGTTGTTTTAGGAAAAGTCTCAAACTATGCATGCAATAAAAACTAGAAAATGTTCATTCCCTTCAAAGCAGTAATTCATTTCTGAAAAAGATATTCCAAAGATAAAACCCCAAAGAATACTGTTTTGCATGTGTGGTGCTGGCAATCAAACCCAGGACCTCACAAATGTTGGGCAGGCACTCTACCACTGAATTATATCCCCAGCATAGAATATAGATCTTTATAAAGTTTATATTATTATCAATAATGGTGGGGAAATTGGAATGACCTAAATATCCAGAGAAAAAATCTCATAGGAGAATCAACAAAAAGAGAATCATTTGGGAAAAAGAGAACAGAAGACTATCTAGCATGTGGAGAGAAAGTAGTGAAAAGGCAAGGAAAGAGTAGTGACTTACAAAAATCAAGTTCACTACTGGTCTTTACTTTCAAAGGAAAAAAGGTGCTTTATTTAATATTTAAGTATCAATAAGCCAGGCATGATGACATGCACCTGTAATCTCAGCTACTCAGGAGGATTAAGAAGGATTGCAAGCTAGAGGCCAATTTAGCAAGACAACTTAGGCAACCTAGCAAGACCCTATCCCCAAATGAAATTAAAAGAGCTGGGGATGTACCTCAGTGGCAGTGCTTGCCTACCATGTACAAGGCCCTGAATTCAATCCCCCCAATACTATAGGAAAAAAAAAAGTCATGAAAAAAGCATTAACAGGGCTGGGGATGTGGCTCAAGCGGTAGTGCGCTCGCCTGGCATGCGTGCGGCCTGGGTTCAATCCTCAGCACCACATACAAACAAAGATGTTGTGTCTGCCGTAAACTAAAGAATAAATATTAAAATTCTCTCTCTTTAAAAAAAAAAAGAAAAGAAAACAAGGCAAAAAGAATCCCCATGAAGAGATCAATGAAGAACTAATATACTAGTAGAATGAATCAGACATTATTACCCTACATGCATATATGACACGAGGCGTAATTCTATACCAT